GTGAACCACATGAGGGACCAACATTATCATACGGGGAACAAATGAACTTGACTCGTTACTATGCTTCCATTGTTCATTCAACTCAGTTCTACTACTGTATACAGGGTCACAAGAACTAAAACCCAGACTAGAAACAACACAGCGGCAAGTACTATGCTCAGCAGGCTTGGAAATAACCATCCAAACAGAAAAAAGCACACACAAAATGTGGCAACCCTCCCAAGTAAATCCAAATTTAAGAAAAAGCAACGGATTTACGGGGAGGCAGGACAAACAGAAGAGCAGAGAAATCGTTCTTTCAAGCTCCAGGCTATGCCGAGAAGAGAAACACAAGACATCGTGAAAAGAGGACAGAGGGTCAGTTGTACCGATAAACCACTGCCTAACGAAAAGAAAAGAACAGAAATTGCACAACATAACTGGAATCGTAACACAGCAAGAAACGCAACGAAACAAGGGTTGATAATGCGGATGATCTCTTGGCCTGGACCACTGATGGGCACTGGACTCGCGAGGCGAGCGTGCAGACCGATCAAGCGCTAGCAAGCAATGCAAATGCAGATCGTGTATCAGCGGTCGGAGATCATTTGTAAACCGCGTCCACCCACTGCCCCCGAAGGGCTTTTTTGTGACCCATGCACCTACAAGAGCCTGCCGGGCAAGGGGAGGCAGGTTGGCTGGCGAGGAGAGGAGCGGGCCTGTAGAGCGAGCAGGCTTTACAGACACAGTGCGCTGAAGAGTCATGGAGCTGGTTCAGGATAAGAAAAAAAGGTATCGATAGACTAGTACCGACGGGCCTGCTCTCATCTCATGTGAAACAAGGGACGTGACAGATAACCCTCTGCTCGGATGTTCTAGTGCCATTGGTTCTGGCCCATGTATCCTTCGCTCAATACACCGTCTTCGAGGGTGCGGATGAAGTCTCGGTTGCGTTGATTGCCGCCGCCGCTAGCTGCTGCTCGGCTTCCGCGTCGTCTTTGGTTGGAGTTTGCATCCACATATCCATCAGGAGGAGGGGGGTAGTATGCGGGACTGGGCTGGAGTCGAATCGGTGCATTCGGATCCAGGTGGCTCGCCACTCGCTGAATGGTGGTTGGGATACCCTGAGGATCCATGGTGGATGCTCGTTGACGGCCAGCCCGTGTTGTTGCCTGTGCGTAGAGACTCTGGGGGGGAACCTGGCCAGGAGGAACCTGGCCTGGCCCTGGCCCTGGCATCATTCCCATTTGGTGGCCATAGCCCGGCGGCTGCTGGGTGGGGTATGGGGGTGGTGCACCCTGGTACATGCCGTTGTACATGGGCGGAGGCTGGGTTTGTGGTGGCGTATGGAATTGATTCATTTGCATGGAGTAGGCATTCTGCGCATGCGCAGCCTGGGCCGCTCTCTGTTTGCTGGCGGCCTCGGCACGTTGTTGCTGCTCAACACCTGGGGCGGGCTTGCTGGCAGTCGAGTACTTAAGGTTCATCGGTGGCATGAAGGGTCCAGTGAACTTTTGCTGGGTGATGAATGGGTGCAGTTTGGCTTGTTGAGGTGACCACCGCTCGAGGGGGTTGATCGAAAGTAGTCCGCGCACGAAATCGATGAATGCGACCCGGTTGTTCAGTTCTGTGACAGTGAGTAAGATGTCAACCATGGGGCGAATCAGACCTTACCTCGCTCAACCTCTGCTTGCTTCATGTTCTTTCGAGGCATCGGGTAGCTGCGAATGATCTCCTCCAGTGTCGAAGCAGAGAAATACTTCTTGCTGGGTTGTTCCTTCGTGTTGTGTTCCCTCGAGTATTGCTCCAAGGTCTTGAGACGGTATGTCTTCCGCCCGAACTCATCTTGAGTCTTTTCGAAAAACTCGCCTGATTGTTTACCCATTTCGAGCATCCAGGTGGGTGGTATGCCCAACATCTCGACGATTCGACATACCTGATTGTATTCCGACGAGCCTGGGAAAAGAGGCAGGCCCAGGAAAAGTTCCACGACGATACATCCGAGTGACCACATGTCGATGGCGGATGAGTATGGCAAACCAAGGAGCACCTCTGGGGAACGGTAGAATCGCGACTGAATGTAGGTGTAGACTGTTTGTCGTTCATCGCATGCTGAACCAAAATCGATAACTTTGATGATTGGACTCTCGAGGTTTTTGAGTAAGATATTTTCGGGCTTCAAATCACAATGAATAAGATGCGCCTTGTTCAACAGACTCAACGCGTTCAACAGTTGCTGGGCAAAGACGCGAACGAGGGTCGTACTCAATCCACGGAATTGGTTTTGCTTGATGAGCTCGTAGAGGTTGACACTGAGAAGCTCGAACGCGAGACACAAATGTTGCCGGTGAATGAAAGTATCCTTGAGGCGAAGGAGATGGTGGTCATCGTTCTTGTCGTACTTGCTGTTGAGCTGCAAAGGGTAAGCGGACGTTCGACAGCGCCTCCAAATATGATGGGAGGCTTACCAGATCTAACACGGAGACTTCCATCATACTCTGATTGAAGTAGGCGGTCTTGTTCTTGATGACTTTGACCGCTACAACTTCTCCCGTCTTCAAGTTCTGGCATTTCACGACTTGACCAAAAGTACCCTGGCCTAGCACATCTAGGATGAGGTATCGGTTCCTGGAGTTGAAAAAGCTGGTTAGCTTCGATAGCGACTACACAAGAGAACGTATTGGCGTACTTGTGACCTGCTTCTTCGCTGCCGAGGATATCGTTGACGTAAAGGATATAATCGCTATCCTCATTATCATACCCGTCGTTCTTCACACCTTTGCTCGGCTTGGTCAGTACTCGCCGCGGGTTCCGTGAAGACTCATAGTTGAATCCTGGATTGCAAATGCGATACGTGGCCGGAAGGTGGGTTGTCAACGATTGAAGCGGCTGAACGAGCTAGTTAGAGGGCGATAGAACCAGTGGGGTATGCTGAGGACTCACGCTGATGAATCCACCTTCAGGATTAGCGCGTCGATATGCGGGCTGTACATTCATGCGTGGCTGCAGTTCCTGTACAGACTGGATCTTTTGGAACTTCGGGACCGGACCGCGACCGGGGACCAGAGGGGGCTGTGATGGTAGCGAGCCAGATCGCGGAGATCGCGAATCTCCAAATCCAGGACTCATGTGGGAGGAGGCCGAGGTTGGGTAATATTGATCGGGGCTGAGGTCACCGGATTGGAGGGGTGGGAGTCGAGGAGGGCGGTTCGCTATCGAGAAGTTAGCAAATCTGTCAAAGCTGACCAGCTCCACGAGTTGATACTCACTTGGCGATTGGTATCCCTGTGGGGGTGATGCGTATTCAGGTCGGGCAGGCGACCGCCGAGAAGCACTCTGGGGCCCGGACGGGAATCCATAAGAGCTCTGGGATTTGCCAGGACTAGTGGGATATGACATCGGCGGCGACAGGACATTCATCGGAGAATATCTGCGAGCGGCCGACGAGGCCGACGATTCCTCTGCCTGACTCAAAAACTGAGAGGAGGCACGATTGTGGTTTGGCCTCGAAGGGTACTTTGCCCGGTTGTACGGGTCGGCGTCCTCCATGGTGGTATCGGCATCGGTGACATAATCCCGACGGGGGGTGGCGGCAGGTGATGAAGCCATAGAGACAGACTTGGAGTTGTTGCCTGCTGAAGGAGGCTTCGATGCAGTGCCAGGAGTTTGGAAAGACTCATATGTGTATCCGACGGGGGGCTGTGACTGTGGTGGCTGACCGTATTTGGAGGCTAGTTGCTGAGGATGAGACGCCAACCCAGTGGGAAACTGCGCAGGGTGACCCATGAGAGGATCCTGGTACGGCTGCCAACCAGGTTCCATCGTGTACGTTTCGCGAACGAATGGCGAGACTCGAGCTCACCGTTTCGCGCACTGCGATCGGGGATCGTGGGTTGCCAGCGGGGACGGGCACTAGGGGTGCGGTAGGTGAATTCTAACGCAATTCGAGGGAGGGACAGAGAGGAATTGGAATTAGAATGAGATCGTGCTGCACCACATTATCCAGGGAATTGTTGATGAGGACAAGTTCGAAGGGGGAGGGGGGGCGGTCGCAATTTGGTTGCGACGCAGTAGACGTAGGCGGCTTGAGGGTTCAGGCAAGTCTGGAGACGATTGTTGGCACCCGAGAATGACGGGAATCCAACAAGAACAGGGATGGCATCAACAGAAGATGAATTCACAATTCACAAACACGAGAATATACAGAAGAGGCAGAAGAGGGGAAAGGGAAGAAGTGTGGAGGTTGGTGAACCTTGCCCATACCCGCCATGGATTGATCTACGGAGTGCATCATCTACATTTACTATGAGTTGAGTATATAACAATACATTATAGGCCTAGGTGAATTTAAATACATCCTCTCTTTAACTTACTCACCTGGATTGTGGTCTCCTTGGCGACGTGACTCTTTGGCCGCGAGATCGACATTACATACCCAACTATCACTGCCTAATATTTCATGTGTCGTTCGTCCAACGCAGCTATGTGTAGTCGGCGTTACAAGTTATATATGATCAGATGGTGCTTTTATGATAACTATAGCTTTGGTTTATAGTTGTTTGCACTTTTAAGCCCACGAGTTAGTAGTTGGTATAGCAACTAGATTGTGAAGCTACAAATATGGATGTGTTCTATAAGCCAAGACGTATCAACAAGGGCGTACGATGAAAACGAGGTAGTATCAGATATACCTGAGAACCTCCAATGGACTCAATAGGATCTGAATGGTTTTTTTACGTCTAGAGTCGTGTTATCTCCCCTGTCACTTCTTCTTCCTTCGCTGCCTGACGACGGATAGTACACTCATAGGCCATAAGTCCTTTCACATCCGCACCTTTACATCTATATTATTAAACCACTGTTTTTAAACAGTAACAACCCAATGCACTCGAAAATGAGCGAAAAAGAGGCCAACGTAGGGAGAAAACAATGCATGAAACGGTATACTGGCTTCGAGCCTGTCATAGAGAGGCTGTCCAATACTTCATGCTAACCATACAATTCACCAAGCCCATCCGACCATGCAACCACCCATGCTCGTACTGGTGATCGTTGCGCCTGATCCAGACGAAGTCTTCCGTGCTGTTCAGGCACTTAGAGAGAACCTCGCAGAATTACAAAACACTTCTGAGCCCATCCACTACTACTTGTCCCTGAAAAGGTTTCCCGAAGAGGATTTCACTCGTCTTCTGGATAGTGAAGGTGGCAAAAGGCGTAATCTTCGGCTGACATACTACCATGGCCTCGATTTTGCTCGCCTTCGCATCCCGGGGTTTGGGAGCACCTTTTGTGGCGACTTTAGCCTCGCAGGCGCAAAGGTCCGCCGTACTTCCCTGAATGTCTCAAACCAGGCCGACGAAAGCTATGTGCCAGGACCCAGTACAACTCCATAGCTGTCTTTGCTTTAGGAGTCGGATACACTGAAACCATGCCGCAGCTTCGACACGACGCCCAAATCTGGTGGAAAGGCCCGGGCGTCTGACTTCACTCATCACATTGTCGGCATCGATACCAACAGCCCACAGAACGCGATTATCGAGCCCTGGTCTCCAACTCTTGCTGGTGCTCATCTAGGATGCAGGCAAACGCTTTCCATCGCCAATCGCCAGGTCCGGTGGGCCTCTTCCGATAGCTTCTAGCTATTGATGCGCCGTCGTCTCCGCGGTGAAGAGCCAGAAGATCTTGTCATTCCGGACACAGACCTCACATATCTTTGGTTGCGGATCCCGCAACGTAGGGATATACCCCAGCTTGCCAAGCCGTTTCCCCACAGTCACTACAGGTTCTCATCGGTTTTTCTGAGCCCAGCATTGCTCGCTGGCAGCACGATTTTGAGATACCTCCATTTACTATGTTAGTCCCTTCGTAAAATTAACTCACTATCATTCTTTACCACCCACTATACCAACTGCACGGCACTGGTCCCAAATAAGAATCGGATGCTGTAAATTGCGAGGCTTGAAGGTCGTCTAAATATCAATTATTTTGAATGTCCTGTTGGTACAGGAATGACTAATTTTCACTAGGGATTTACATAGTAATTGCTGGCTAAAAAGACAAAAAGTTCGATAGGAAGGCGGTGAGAAAATGCCTGATTTGTAACGCAAAATAGGCCAAATTCAGGCCAAATTTCAGGCAGGAGGGTGTCGGACAAATCCGTAGGGGGGTTTCAATGTATCAATCCTCTATTTATAACCAAGCACACTATCAAGCAGAAGGTCTCGGAACAAAAGCGCAAAACGGCATGGCAAAAGTGAGGTGAGGTCTAAATCCTAGGATTACCTCATTCATGATTCATGAGTCATGTAAGCGGTATGTTAGGCGGTGACTGATTGTGCCACCATCCGATAAAGATTGTCTCTGAATAGGACTTGATTGCTGCCTTTGCCTAATGTATTTGCTCTATTGAGCGCTACCATGCACTCACTTACACATCTATTGCTTTAATCTGTCCTTTATTTTCAATCCATACAATCCTTTTGCACCCTTATTTCACCATGTCCTCTACCGATGAGGCGAGTCGCCTCCGGGACCTTCAAGCCGATGTCCGCAACCAAGATGATCTCGAGAGAGACATCACTCGGCAGGTACGAGCTAGCTCTCGATTTGCAGTTAATATAGGCTGACTTTAATCTCAGGCGGACAAAGCTCTTGCCGAAAAGGCGGAAGAGAATGACATCAAGCGACTCGAGAAAGTCCTGGTGGAGAGAGAGTATGTAAAGTAAATTCCTCACATCTAACAGCACCGCTAACATCTATGTCAGACGTATCGACACCCAGGTCCGCCGAGCGCACCAGCGCCTTACCCATTCCGTCGGCACCGCCACCCGCCATCGGGTGGAGAATGAGTTGAAGGGATTGGAGGTGCGCAAGGCGGGTCTGGTGAAAGACCTGAAGGAAATTCAACAACGTATTGATGAGAGGCGCCAGTCACAAGAGAATGCAACAGTAGCACACGGATCCGGGCGGCTGCCGAACGAGTCGCGCCGTGACTACCTGCTGCGAACTGGAAAGATTACCCCGTTTGCGTTGATGAATGCGGGATCCAGAGATGGGCCGCTTGCCAACCTCGAGGATGCGCTTGTCGATACCGAGGATCAGTACAATGAGGAGCAGGAGCGTGAACGGGCCAAGCATGAGCCAGCGGCATCCCACCGTGATCTTGCACGACCAGATTTCGATTTCGAAGAGAGCAGCAGCAAACGTCGAAAGGTCGCTCAGACTAGTTCCCCAGGGGCAGATTCCTCCGCAAGCTACGTTGCCTCGGAGGGTGCCGAGGACGTATCAGGAGATGAAGAGTTCATGCCTGATACTTTGCCCGAAGCAAAGCCAAGTCGTAAGCGCAAACAAACGAAAGGCAAAAGTGAGCTTGAAGACCTGAGTGGAGTGGATGATGGCAATGAGAGAATCTACCAGGCTCGTGTCCAGGAATGGATCAGTCGGCGTAGCTCTGCTCGACGGGACGCCGCGACTCACTCCATCGAGAGTGGGCTGGATGACGAAGATGAATGGCTCAAGCCACATCCCACTGAACCAGCCATGGAGCTTGACAACGACTTGCGCGTGCCTGGGGATATCAGTCGCTATCTGTTCCCTTACCAGAAGACTGGTGTTCAGTGGTTATGGGAGTTGCACCAGCAAACCGTGGGTGGAATTATTGGAGACGAGATGGGCTTGGGAAAGACCATCCAGGCAATTGCCTACCTTGCGTCACTGCACCATAGCAATAAGTTCACCAAGCCGGCTATCATTGTTTGCCCTGCAACTCTTATGAAGCAATGGGTCAATGAGTTTCATCGCTGGTGGCCACCCTTCCGTGTTTCTATTTTGCACTCATCAGGAAGCGGCATGATGAACCTCAGCAAAGAAAGCAGTCGGGAGAGTGCACTCACATCCGAAATGATGGGAAGTCGCAGCTCTGGCCGTCTATCTGCTGGCCAAAAGGCAGCCAAGAAGATCATCCAGCGAGTCACCCAAGAAGGCCACGTCTTGGTCACTACATACTCAGGCCTGCAGTCATATGCAGATGCTCTCGTTGATGTTGAGTGGGGATGTGCTATTCTTGACGAAGGCCATAAAATTCGCAACCCTGATGCCGGTATCACCTTCAGCTGCAAGGAATTGCGTACTCCCCACCGCATCATTCTCTCTGGAACACCTATGCAGAACAGCCTGGTAGATCTGTGGTCATTATTTGACTTTGTTTTTCCTATGCGCCTAGGCAACCTGGTTACATTCAAGAACCAGTTTGAGAACCCCATCCGGCAGGGAGGATATGCGTCTGCAACTAACCTCCAAGTGCAGACAGCTGCAAAGTGCGCGGAGACTCTAAAGGACGCCATTAGTCCATACTTACTCCAGCGCTTCAAGGCCGATGTAACATCCGATCTACCGCAGAAAAGCGAACAGGTCATCTTTTGCAAATTGACAGCTCTTCAGCGAACGATCTACCAGAGATTCCTTGGCTCAGATGACATGAAATCCATTTACACAGGCAAACGAAACTCACTGTTTGGAATTGACATCCTACGCAAGATCTGCAACCATCCTGACCTGGCAGATCACCAATTGCGGTCTCGCGAGGCGGACTACGGTAATCTAGAGCAGTCTGGCAAAATGCAGGTCCTGAAGGGTTTACTCGAGGTCTGGAGAGATACCGGCCACAAAACCCTGCTCTTCACCCAGGGACGTCTGATGCTGGACATCATCGAGAAATTCCTCAATCATTTGGGTGGTTTCCAATACCGCCGAATGGATGGCACTACACCTATCAAGGAGCGCCAGTCCCTGGTCGACACATTCAACAATGACCCTGAAATCCACGTCTTCTTGCTCACCACCCGCGTGGGTGGGATCGGAGTGAACTTGACAGGTGCTGACCGTGTCATTATCTTTGATCCCGACTGGAACCCATCCACCGATCTGCAAGCGCGCGAGCGTGCATGGCGTCTGGGCCAAAAGCGTGATGTCACTATCTTCCGCTTGATGACCAAAGGCACGATTGAAGAAAAGATCTATCACCGCCAAATCTTCAAACAGTTCTTGACCAACAAGATCACCCGTGATCCTCACCAGCGTGAGGGTTTCCAGTTGAGTGATCTTTACGACCTGTTCTCTCTGACAGATGAGGATGATAAGGAACTGGAGACAACCCAGCTTTTCAAGAATGCGGAGGTTACGTATCAGGAAGAGACCGACGACCCTCGCGATAAGAGGAACCGTGGACGCAAGAGCGAACCCGTTCCGAAGACCGAAGATGAAGATCTAAATGTGGACGGAGTCGCCAGGATCGAAGCATTCAAAGATACCGCCGAAGAAGAGAAAAACTCCAAATCCTCCGAAGATCGCATTATGCACGGTATCTTCGCCCGCTCCGGTGTGCACTCCGCTCTGGAGCACGACCAAATCGTGAACGGCCGTCGTGTCCTTCGCGCCGACCCCAAGATGATTGAAGCTGAAGCCCGTCGTGTGGCCAACGAAGCAGCCGAAGGCCTCCGCCAAGCCGAACAAGAAGCTCGCAACGTCCCAATTGGCCTCCCAACCTGGACCGGTCAGTTTGGCATCGCTGGTCGCTCCGATCCCTCGACCGGCGGTAGCTCTGCTCGGTCTAACCGTGGCGGTCCTTCATCCGCCAGTCTGTTGGCCAACCTTAACCCAGCTGCTGCATCACGATCCAATAGCGACGGCGACCGCAACGGCAACGGCGCTCGTGCCGGTGCTTCTTCTTCCCGCATGCCCCGTGGCAAAGATTTCCTCCCACTGATTCGGGATTATCTCGCTTCTCGTCGCGGTCCAGCATTCTCTCACACCATTGTTGAACATTTCAATCATTATTGTAATATACCAGAGCGCGTGGCTGAGTTTCAGGAATCGCTTAAGACGGTCGCGACACTTGATCGTGTTGGTGGTAGAGGTCGATGGACTCTGAAGCCTGAGTTTGCTCGCAATGCTAGCAACCAGAGCCAGAGACGCTGAATGGAAACCTGGTTTCATCAATAGATGATCATTTAGTCGGTGCTAGATGGCGTCCATTGGGGTGTTTCTTTGTTCTTTTTGGGGATGTGCATGTAAGATAGCGAGTTCACGATATTATGAGGAACGACAATATAGATACCCTGGGTGGGTTTATTCACAAACATACTAAGTCATGACTGCGCTAGGCATTTGCTGCATATATATGTACGCTGTACTGTACAGCCACTAATCCGAGGCTAAGAATCTTCGTTGTCCACCGGGCGTTGCTTAAATGCGCCCCCGTGGAGCCCTGTTTTTGATTTAATAGTAGTCCGCGTCGTTTCATACACCTCATTTTTCATCAAATCGCTCATAACTATTACATATGATCTTATATGTGTAAAAAGTATAATCCACAGAAAATGTCTAGGTACAATGTGTTTATCAGTCAAACTTATGCAACATATGATATCATCCGGGTATAACTTCAAGAAAGGGGGCATTCGCACAGTGGAGTATCCTATTTTTGTGACACAGGGGGCCACAAAATCCCTCCTATACAAGTGACGTGAAGCAAATTAGGCAGGAGATTTGCCCAAATGTCGCATCCACACAATTCAGGGGAAGCTCCACGAAATCTTGGCAGAGAGTGGTTGTATCGACATGCAACAAGTACGTGCAACTACAGAGAACAGAGGTGGCACAAGGATGTACAAGTATTCCCACAACACAACTTAAGCAGCGAAAATCGCCTCACTTGTGAAATAGGAATCACGTTATTACCAAGATCACCCTTCGGGTAGAGATATTGACCGTCACTCTTGCACATCTTGTCTCAGGTATTCCCCGTAGGGAATAGACAGTGGATGAGATCTGCACTCGATCGCAGCCCTGACTGGCGCGGAGGTTCCAGCTAATGCAGGAACCCACTCACTTGAACTTCCAACATGTCGATTATAATCACCATGTGGGGGCTGTTCCTTCATTTACCCCATACCTGCCTCTAACGCCGTGGATCAGCCTTGTCCGGTTGGGTAGAGTCGGCCCCGAGGTCCGGTTTGGGGGCGGTTTTGAAGCGTTGTGCCCTTGTGTGTGCCTTGCATGCTGATAATATGCATGGACTTGAAACAAATGCGAATCAGGGCGTCGGAGAGGATTCAATTGACGGTGAGTGGTGGTGTTTACCTTCGAGACAATATCAATAGATCAAGTATACGCATGTGCATACGGAGGATAACCAGCTCGCTTCTATTTTAATCGAAGGATCTCAATCCGGATCGGCAATCAATACAGACGGTAAACTCCACCGTGGGCCATGAGTTCATGTGTTCATCACCTCCGGATCCAACGCATACAGGTATAAAAGGACGCCACAATCCCCGTTGTATAAGCCCTTCTTAATCAAACCCACTCGCTTTCCAACTCTCCTTACTCTCTATATCCCTACACTGTTCGCTCCTTACCCAATATCAAAATGAAGTTCCTCGCCACCATCGCTCTCCTGGCCTCCGCCGTGGCCGCCGCTCCAGCTGAGAAGCTCTTCAACCTGAAGACCTCCGGCGCCGCCAACAGCACCCACAACGACCTGTACCTTTCCGTTGGCCGTGGTATCATCAACGACCCCCTCAATAACGAGGCCCTCTTCGCCGGTGCCCCCGCCAAGCGCGCTGCCACTTTCTACGTCAACAACGGCACCATCCGCTGGGATAGCGGCGATGCCTCCACCCCCTGGGCTCTGGATCTGATCAAGGTCAACGGTATGCTTGATTCTTCATATTCAAACATGAACATGTTCAATTTTGATCCAGAATCTAACTAATTGTTATATAGGCGTCCGCAAGGAGCGCGCCCAGGTCAGCGTCGACCCCACCACCGGATCTAAGGGTTTCACCATCGGTCCTAAGGGCTTGCAGGGCCCTGCCAACAGCTGGGGTGGATGGTTGTGTATGTGTTATCCCCGATTACTTCCAGTTCCTATCTATCAATGACGCATTGTGACTAACATGTATTCGTACTCCAGGGTGCCCCGTCGACGCCGCCGCCGGCCAATTCTACCCCAACCTGCACTACCTCAACAAGAACGTCTCTCTGCCCGCTGTGCCTACTGGCTGTGACAAGATTAACTTGGAGGTTGTGCCTAAGTCCTCTGCTTAAGGGGTTTCCCAACCCCTTGGACAGACGGTTCTGAGCTTGGTTGAGCATCTGTGATGCATACATACGTTATTTACATACCCGTGGACCAGCGCTTCTTATTATTTGAAAATATTTGGATTTGACCTTGTATATTCCACATACCTCGGCCTATAAAGCTGCTTTTCAATATCGCCATAATTTATGATGATTCGATTTGAAATTTGGATTATGTGTATGTGTTTTGAAGATTAGGAGGATCTGTGGATTGGTAGAAGATCCACATGTCTTCATTTCTTCAGCTTCTTGATCTTCGTTGGTCAGGCGTATTTAGTTTCTCGGAAGAGCTGAAAGGGTGTCATTCTAATTTGGTACCGATGTACCTGATATCTTCTACCACTTCTTGGCTTTCCCTTTCCGTTTCAGTGCTTAGGTCTTGCCGCTTTTGCTCACAGAGTCAACCTGAGCACACCCTGAGCACCCTGATCTGCTCACTGAGCATACTCTAATCGTCACTTAAGCGCTCTGATTATTGAAGGTTAAGCAATTATGCCCTAAGGCAGAGGACAACGTTTCAAATCTTACTGTGGGGCCTAATCTGCCCTCGGGGTGGTTTTGGTAGGAGGCTAAGTGACTTTCCTACCTGTTTAATGATTGTGTATGGATTACTGGCTATGAGCTGAATATGGAGCCAATATCAGGGAAAGAGTGGGTGGGAAACATATCGAGTTCATAAGAAATTTGGCATTGTCAGTCCCAAAACTTGCAAAGGATAACTTGCGTAGTTCCCAGTACCTATGGTGACCGGCTAGGTTTGATCGGCTTCGGACGCTCGACCCAGTCAAATGGACCACATGGCTTGGTCAACCACACATCCTCAGGGCCTGCAGCCCCTCTCGGGTGGGAAAGGTCGAACAAAGTGCCACTCAAAAAGCTATGAGGGAATCCATGATCAAATTCATACCCGGTCTCAATCTCCTCAATCTCTTCGTTCGATAGCGCAACTGCCAGACCGGGAATGCTGCCTTTCAGATGGTCGACAGTCCGACCACCAATAATGGGAAAGACATAAGGAGCCTTATGGCAGATATACGCCAATGCGATATTCAAGAGTGTCACACCTCCACCCTTCCTGTTGGCGATTTTCTCCAGGATAGCGGCGACTTGCTTATCCCGCGCGCACACGGGGATGAATTTGCGGCCATCATTCGACTTCTCGCGGGCCTTGTAGCCTTCGGCCGTCTGGAAATTGCCCGCGTTTAGTGTCGCGTACGGGGCCAGCCCCATCCCTTCGTCGGCGCACATAGGAATGATGTCTCGTTCATGGTCTCGCCTCGCGGCATTCCACTTCCCTTGATACACCGAAAATTGTCGCAACCCATGCTGGCGGGCGTACGCGTTTGCCTTGGTCACGACCCAAGCAGGTGTATCTGAAATACCGAGGTAGTGCACCTTCCCTGACACGACCAGGTGGTTGAGGCTCTGCATCAATTCCGGGATCGAGGTTGTGTAGTCCCACCAGTGCACGTAGAACAGATCGATGTAAGTGGTCTGAAGCTTGCGCAGGGACTCGTCCACAGAGTGGTTCATGGACTTGGTTCCAGTGCCGACGAAGTTAGCCTGGATCTTGTCTTTGTGGTGCAGCATATACCCGGAGGTATACTTGGTGGCTATCACGAGCTCGTCGCGGTTCTTGCGGGAGGCGATCCATTCCCCTAGCCAGACCTCGGACTGGCCGTCTTGGTAGGCGTTTGCTGTGTCGAAGAAGTTGCCACCGTTGTCGTAGAAAAAGTCCATCATTGAAAAGGCCTCTTCTTTGCTGCATTCGCCGTATCTTTCGGGGTGCTTACCGCCAAATGTCATGGTGCCCAAGCATAATGGCGAAACTCGCACTGAGGCAGAGGGGGCCAGCTGGCGGTAGCGACCCAATACGCTCTTTGGATCAATACCCATTTTGTCGGGCAGAATCTCTTCTGTGGAGTGATTAAAAAGGAAGTTTACAATGTATCGATTTTTAGGCTGACTTTTGGAGGGAAGCTATCTGAGAATGAAATTACCGAGATTATATAGAATTTGACTGGACCACAAACTGATCCAATTTGACATCAAGCCGGTAATCCGATAATTAACATGCATGCCATCATGCACCCTGTCATCAATGCTCTTAATTCCGGTCTCCGATGGATTTAAGATGTGGGGCAAACTTTTTTCGGCAAAGATCGTAAACACTAAGCCTCTGATTTTCTCAACGTTTAATTCATAGGTGTAGTGGACACTGCGATTACACCCCAACGCTAGATAACAGTAAATTGGGCACCGAAACGGCTAGGTTTGACTCCATTTTAAGCGTCCTATTTACCAGATTCTTAGTCATTAAAGTATCACGTGATTTATTCCGGTCCACTCTGTGATCCCGGGGGCTTGGCAGGGTTACGGGCCAGTCTATGTATAAGCAATTCCCGCTGGTCCGGAGAAGGACTAGCGTTCAGTCTCTTCATACAATAGAACGTATTGTACAGCACGCATAACCGAGGCTCCTACCTCGCTTACCCATATAAACGCGAGACTACTGCGTGGTCTCACATACTGCGGCCCACGGCTATGCTATTGCATTAGTCGGGAGCGTATCAATTTGCGCCCGTCTGTGTCGGCGACCCATTTGGGCGGGAAGAGCGTTAGTAACATTACACAGTACTGTATGTACGAGACTTCAAGTGAAACTCGATAGAAAGCTATGGTAAATCCCTGAAAACCAGTATGTAGACGATCTGCTAGGTGTTTTCACTTCCTTCTCAACCTGCACGGTATGCATGCCATTTTTGCCCCAGATGATAGAGATTGCGGTGCCGAAGAGGAGATATTGTCAAGGTACCGGATATTTTGGGCTCGGCAAGGTGTTTTCTTGTCATGGTGTACTCTGCTCTTGGGCGTGCATCACCTCCTTGTCCACCACGTCATTGGGTGCTCGAGGAAGAAGATGATTACGGAGACTGCTCAAAACCCCTCACATTATGCGCCATAATGGACATACTGCGCCCAATATAGAGGTCGGTTCCGAAAGTCGGGGCTCTTTGAGATTTTCTCAACCGCTTTATGAAGGGCCATCGCGACAGCTCTATCCGTGTAATTCAGAGTACCGTTTCGGCAAAGTTCGGAATAGAACGATTTCGCAACGTCAACACAGATATTGTCGTAGGAAGGCCATAGACATCCTATCACATGTCTGAATCCAGCAACCTGGAAGCCACTTACAACGTGGAGCACTTCGTCCATCAAATGCTCGGCCCGATTCTCTGCAGTCGAACAGGCAGAGAGATATGCAATTTGCCCCTGAGCAAGGTGATTCTCGCAGATTTTAGAAACGCTAAGAACATCTTGACTTGGCTTTTCAGTGGCTGTCTGCAGTAAAAGCCCACTTTTAGAGGGATCGTTCGAATCCGATACTCCGTGGCAGGCGAAGTGGGCAATATCACATTGGTGAATATGACGCAAAACGCTTTTGGTGTCCGGTTGATCGAGGATCTCCACATCAACGGAACTCCCTAGTACCCCCACAACCGCAGATGCTTCGGCCTTCACTCCGGATAAGTTGCCAGCGCCAGGGGTCTCGGCCATAGTAACTATGAGCATCTTTTGAGGTTTTCCACTTGGTGGGACAGTGGTCAAGACACGCTCCCTGGCATGTATAAGAGCCTTGACTGAAGGGATATAGGAAGACAAAATGTAGCTAGATACACTTTCAATCGGATCCGCAGAAAGATCACACGCAGCGTGAAATGGGAAGGTGCTAGCAAGCCCAGTCCCAACCCACCAGACTCTTGAAAGATTTTCTGCTGCGTGCTGAAATGGGTAATTAAGCTCGGTGAGAATAGTCTTCACACAACCACGCCAGAGCCAGGATAGAAATTGGCGATAGGCCTTGTTCTTCGGACCACGATTGCTTTGTGAAACTGAAGTTAAGTCCTGATTGACCCATTCCTGCGCCTGGAGTGTATCGAGGTGAGGAAGATGAACTGATTTAATTCCACTAGAAGAAATGATAATAGCATCGCTTCTTAGAACAGTGACATTAACAATTATGATATTGCCCTTATCCGAGGCTTTTTTCATTTGTTCTGCTGTGGGTCCCTTTTGAAAAGAGCTGAATCCTTGAAGTTGCCGAATGGCCCGTAAACATTCTTCAAGATCATTTATCGCTTTTTGCCGTCTTTCAGACATGAACTTAGGTGTATCCGAGGATATAGCAGTCTCAAAAGGCCTGTGGATTTCGAGGCGAAGGTTTTCGTATTGTTCACACAAAGTCGGATTGACCGCCCTGAGTTCAGACGTATCACTCCGATCGTCCATAAGGAGACTGAGAATGACACCACGTCCTCGCTCTAATAGTTCCAGAGCTTTGATAGGGGCTTGTCCAACTTGAAGAGCAAGAGAGCAGGCGTCTGCGGCCATGCCAAAGAAAAATGAGACGACATACTGTTGATCTTGTATGCTCAACGACCTGTTATGTACGAGAGGCAGGAGATCAATAGCCTCTTCAGACAGAGTATAGGCGTTTCCATAATTTCCTTGACTCTGAAGTAGCTCTATGGCCTGGACAAAACCCAGGATTCGTACCAGAGGTGGTGCTGCCGTGACTGTAACCGCCTGGAGTGACACTCGGATCGCCTCTTCAAGATCCTGTATCTCCCCTGTGTCTTTATATCGGCGGTTGAGATTTTCACTTAGGTTTTGCAAATAGCTTGCAAGATCGGGATGATTGTTGGGCATGAGATTGACCGCATGGCGAGAAACTTGGATTGCCTCTTCGAAGTCGTCCATCATTCCTATGCGTTCATATCGAGTTCTGAGGTGATTCCCCAAGTCGCTTAACCCGCCAGGAAGATTAGGATGGGCGTTAGGGGTTGCTTTTAACCCTTGGCGAGATACCTTAACTGCTTCCTCAAGGTCCTCTATCTTTTGAGTGTGTTTGTATTGGTCTCCGAGCCGGTTTCCCAGGCTACGTAAAATGAGTGGAAGGTAGCAATCATCATCAGTGGCAATCTCGACTGCCCGGCGGGATACCTCGATCCCCATTTCGAGGACCTCTACTAGGCCTATGCATCGATATAGTTTGCTGAGATGGGTTCCCAAGCTGGCTAACAGAAGTGTCATATTCCGATGATCGTTAGGCATTTGAACCACCGTCTCAAGAGACATCTGGACTGCTTCTTTGAGGTCCTCCATATTTCCTGTGCGATGATGTCGCTTTGTGAGCCCAATTGCTAGGCCATTCAGTCGGTTCACACGTTCTGGATGGTCTATGGCTGTCATATCAAGCGCCTGGCGAAGCATGCGAATTGCCTCCTCAAGATTTTCCATCTTTCCTATGCTATCACAACGCATTACAAGCGCTTGTCCCAGAGTATGTAGCCGGGAAGGAAGATCGGCATGATTATCGGGCGTTAGATTGACCGCCTGGCGAGACACTTGGACTGCCTCCTCGAGATCGTCCATCATTCCTATGCGTTCATATCGGAGTCTAAGGCCATGACCTAAGTAACTTAACCCGCCGGGAAGACTAGGATGGGCGTTAGGGGTTGCTTTAACCATCTGGCGAGACACTTGGACTACCTCTTCGAGGTCTTCTATCTTTTCAGTATGATTATATCGAGCTCCAAGCTTGTTTCCCAGGCTGTGCAAGAAGTATGAAAGACAGAGATGATTGTCAGAGCTGATCTCAACAGCGTGCCTCAATACTTGGATCGCCTCTTCGAGGTCCTCTATCTGTCCCATGCATTGAAATCGCCTTTCGAGTATATTTCCGAGGACGCCTAGTATGCGAGCATAGACGCTATGCTCTAGATTTTTTGCTTGGAGCTCTGCCCATTTTGCTTTTTCGACAGCTTCTTCAAGATCTTGGATCCGGTCTGAAAGCTTGAACTGTTCGAAAACAAGCTCGGCGTAATAACAACCGAGCACTGCTCGGTGCTCATTGTCATCCACAGCTATGGATGCTATGAGCTCTTCAAAGTTGTTGAGCAAATCGATTTCCAAAAAATGTAGATCGAAGTCCATGATCTCTATTGTCGGCTTTTCGGAGTGGATTAGGAATGTTGCTTGAGAAGACCGGCTTTTTTCCTTCGATGAGTGAAATCTCAGGGATTACAGCCCAGTCAGCCCCGAAATTACGAGACTAGCATAGCCCCTCTGCCACGTCAGCAGCTGTACCTCCCCCCTTTGCAAAGACTTTCTGCTATTGTGCCTAAGCTTGCCCCGTTCTTTTTATCGCTTTGCAAAAAGTCGACGTTCCCAAAATGCCTGCCAGCATTCTCCTCCCACAGATGTTCTTGCCACAATTCGCTGTTAAGCTAGGACGCTTCCTCACCAATTTTGACCAGCCTCACCAAGATTACTATGATCCTAGCCCATGTCAGGACTTCGAAATCCTTATGATAATCGATTTCCTATGACAGTACCGAAACTCTTGGAAGGCCGCAATTTTGCTTTCCGAGCTCACCGCCTTCATCTCCTCCTTTATATCGAGCCGAACGAAAGCTTCGGCTCGTGTCATGACCGAACAGCTAAAGAAGTACTACAATACGTCTCGGAAACTGGTGCCACCACTTACACTCTCCAATAGACATTGAACTGGCCCATAGGCCGGCCCAACCCGTCCATGACGGGCAGACTCAGTCTGTCCATGACACAAAGAGACATAATTAATGCAATTCGTACAGTATTCTAGAGCGGTAAGATTATAGATAAAAGATTAAGATAAAAATGAGCTAATACAATGCATTAACTAACCATTTACTACCTTCAAATCCATCTATAAGTCAGGTCTTTGGCACCTTTCTCGCCCTTGCAGAGTGACGTATTTGACTTATTGAGGACATACCACTATTATTATCACTTTCTTCATTTTCGTAATCAGATAAAACACTCTTTTGTCCCTTTTCCTATGCGTATAGATGACCTCACTCCCGCCTCAGCTTCCACAGTATCACTGATAGGTTCAATACCTTCTATACTAGGTGATCCGCTCATTTTTAACCCCTTCAGGGACCTCGAGGGTCCGGGATAGTTCAATTTATTCGCCTTCTATCCCAACCCGAATCGCATCTTCGAGATCTTTATCAGACCTGTTTGTTCCTATCGACTTTCGAGCTTGTTTCCAAGGTTGTTTAAACACCCCGAAAGATCAGGATAATCATCCGGAGTCGCCTAAACTGCCTGGCGAGACACCCGAATCGCGTCTTTGAGATTTTCCATCTGTCTTGTTCGTTCGTATTGACCGAGCTTGTTTCCAAGATTGGTTATTCTTGGGGTGTAATTTTCGAGACTTGCGGTAGGACAAAAGCCTCCTCCGCGGTCTATGTATAATAACTCATCATGCACATGTCAACGCATATTCATCCAGCCAAGACCGTCAAGAGTCTTGGCTGGTTCAGCAGTTGCCGCCGGAACTCAGCCGCAGCTGGATCCATACTGGTACATCCACAATAGCATAGCCTATACGCCGTGGGAACAGACCACAAAGGCCAGCTGTCTCGATAGCCGGTCGCTTCATGCATACTGCGCGAGCAGATGCAACGACCTACAGTAGCAAGGTGCCCCCAACATTTCCAATTACATATTGCCACGTCATCCTCTCCACTTTCTGACCTAATCCGTGCACATGAAAGCACTCAATGTACTGGCCAGTCATTTTCTAAGGTGATTTCGCCTCTCGTGTTCATATCGACACCAGCGTGCACTTCTTGAGTTGCTCAATCAGGTTTGGAGATTCGGATAAATGACTATCTTGACTGCATGGCAGTAATCAGATCGCCGTCCATTTTCTGCTCATACTCGTAATCGCGTTAGAGCGACTGCACTTCCCGGGTTGCTTTCCGGCGCTAAAGAAATTAAGCGTCAGGGGTAGAGTTTTGCACCCGATGAAATCCTTGGGTCGAGGTTCTCAAAGGCGATCCGTCGTATATCCCCGTACCACATCAGGAAACTGGGTTTCTAATTGTTTGCCTAGTAACCAAAAAAGACGATTCATTTGGCATGACCTTCGCCGCTGGCAGACTCGGATCAGTTCGGGATTCTCCTTCTGTTGATGTATCGACGACGCTGACTGATGAAGATCTCTGAATAGGACTCAGCCCCAATAACCTCCAATAACCGATGGCCAGGGAGTTCCTCTTGCATGGCCATAGCGCGGCTGCTCCGTAGTTGACAACTTGACCCACTCTGCTACGTCGCCAGCTATCTCACCTCATATTCCCTATTGTGCCATCCAGTTTGCTCTATTTTATTCGTACCCCGCCAAAGATCCGATTTCCTTCGAAATGCGCAGTAGCGTTCTTCTCCCGCAGTTCTTCCTACCACCGTCTGCTATCAAGCTAGGACGTTTCGTCACCAATATTGATGAGCCTCACCGAAATTACCTTGAGCCGAGACTAGAGAAGAGCTTCCGTGTTATCGAAAAAGTTGCAACTCAGTATGACGGCACCGACTCTCAGAGGGCCAAACGTAACCTAGGTTCTGAGCTCACCGCTTTCTTCTCCTCCGCCGTGTCAAGCCGTACGAATACCTCGATCCATATCAACACGAAACAAGTAAAGACCTATTATTTGGACAATAATGGGCAGTGGTTCCGAGATATCGTGAAATCGGAAGATGTCCGAAAGTGGATTGATCGTACTATCGATGAGGGAGAAGACATCTATGTTGTGGTTGGCTACCACACTATCTTAGATGCTCGTATCGCGGAGCAATCGCGAGAAGAATATCTTCTAAATGGAAGTCTAGCTATGCCTATCGCGAGTGCGCTGTCGGCATCAGGAGTGGTTGTCCCATTTAGTGGATTAACTGATCCTAGACTAGCGGGGTCTAGTGGGCAAGCGGAAGACTTGCAACGGCACTTTGTTGCCCAAGGCGAGCAAATCATTGCGGTGCAATATCGCAAGGTCCAATTTCGCTTTTTCTCAAGCAAAAGCGTTGACAAGGCAACACTAGCTAAAGAGGCGAGATGGGAAAGATATGACCGTCCTCGTTACCTTCAAAGCGATATAGAAGACATGATAGAGGTCGTGCTGGATGATGATCTGTCACTCGAAGGCGACCGGGATAAGTATATAGCAGGATCGGAGGAGATCATCTTTTCGAACATTGGTGTCGATTCAAGATAGCGACTTCGGTCTTCAGGTCGCATACAGTATTTCTAGCATGCTGTCTATCTTAACTTCTCGGTGTATCTAGTACAAATGGTAGTAATAGCTAAAGACTGCCTCTACATATTTTACCGCGCTATATCACGAGAGACGCGACCAGTAGGCCTTAGGGGTAAGGTTATACACCCTTAACGTGTCCTATGTGTCATCGAAGGCATCGAAGCTTTATCGAACGATTTTACCGCTAGACCAACAATGCCAATGACACTGATGGTATTTCAGTAATCGTAATTCAGGGTATTTTCCACCTTGACAAGGTTGTTTGAAGCTATAGTCAAACGGTCATATAGGGAATCAGTATTTATTGACAGGCATAGTTGATGGTATTGCTGTAACGTATGAAGGGTTCTAGTGTTTACAGAATAGAACCTGTCAACTAGGTAAGATGAAGATGTCTCAGGAACAACAATATTGAAGGGAATACAGAGACTGATTCTTGGAGAACTTCACAGGTTCTCCTGAATCGGGCTGTTTAACATGAGGGGTAGAAGGAGCGGTCAGGCAGTTCTGAAAGTGTCGACACAGGAGCGCTGGTGAATCGCCGACGGTTTCCTAAGGACATGTAAATGATCCTGCCGCTCCGTGACATTTGTTGGACGGACGGCCGGACGGAGCCTATATTGTGAAGGTAATAGGGCTTAGTCAATTGTGGCCTTATATCATATTCAACCTCTCATAGAAGTTTAAAGACTAGGTAAGTCAAATAAATGGAAGTTAAAAGATCAAGGAGTTACTATAGATACGTGAGAATACGCTATTTCCTAGCCCATGCTCTCAGGAACCAGTAGGCAATATTGCGGTTATTGTTGTAGTATTTTTGAAGAAGAAGAAGAAGGCAAGATGAGATTGAATGGGCCGATCAGCCTGAGCCTTGGGGTGAGCGATCAGGTTGCTCAGGGTCGCTCGTGAGCTGCTTAGGGCGGCGGGGTGGCTAGATCACTCTGTGCTTTGGGAGCCGATTACTTCCCGAGGCGGCAATTTTACCGTCACCAAAATTACCAATGATAGATATTGAAAAGGTGACCAAGTTTGTCTCACGCGTCATACTACAAGATTGGCTTGATTGATGGTCTGTAAACAAAGCTATGATTGTTTTCCTGAGCAGCAGCGATCATGGGTATAAAGAGTCTCATGGGAGTGTCCAGTGTATTTAATTTAACTTATAACGTATTTCCCTACCGAGCTGGCGCCACCCCCCACCTCCCCGGGAGCTGGCCACCCTAGAACACCATAGTAAATGCGATAAATTACAACTACTGCGTAATCCTGAGACATGCACAGACGTGTTCCCGCAGGATCCACAGTAAGCAGCTTGCAAATATGTACATTTTCTTACAGGTCACCAGCAAGGGCCATAATCTTTCCTCCTCTTGTATAGGTATTGTTTACGGGATGCTCTGACTCCCCTCCTGTAGTAACGTAAAGGATTTCGCGACCATTTGGAAGTTTGCCAAACGCCGCCGATGTGGCAGTCATCAAATCCTTCGAGTCCAAAGAGCCCGCTATAACCTTGTGTGATCCATTCCGAAAGACCTTAGTAACCACATTGTCCGTGAGTCCCGCTAAGTATGCAACACCGTTTGAATTAACGGCAAAGTCATCAGCGAGAACATTGTGGGCAATGGTCTCATATGGGCCCAATGCTCCACCGGTATGTCTATCGATATGAACACGACAGAAGATTCGCCGAGGGCTATTGTTGTAGTACAGATAGCCGTTCGTGATCCTCAATCCGTTGATCCCGAGCATTAAGCCTAGCTCATCGGTCGGTGCCATTGTTTCATCCTGATGTATCACGGTATAGTTACCCGTATGGGTATCGAGACGCCAAACAAGACCCAACTGAGAATCTGAGATGGCGACTGATCTCCTTTCTTCATCCAATGTAGCCATACCATTCAGGGTCCCAGCAGGAAGTGTGGCAATTCGAATTGGCTTCGAAACATTCTGGCAAACACTTAGATCGACTTTCCAAACAGAATTAGATGCCACGACCGCATAAATATCTGGTGAAAGCTCTGTGATCCCGTTCACTGAGTCCGCCCTATCAAAGTGGCAAACCAATTGCGCCGTACTGTGGCCTAAATGTGTTGAAGGTGTGATCTCCCAGAGTTCTGGTGTATTCACAAGTGCCACTAGGAGATTTCCATTGGGTCGCACGGCGATGTTTTCAACCCAGGTACCATTGGGGAACCTGTAGACCTCGTATAGGCTGGGAGTTGGAGAGGAGCCAAGAGCGCAAAGAACTGTAAGGAGAAATATGATGAAAGCCATTCCGGACGCCATGGTCTGGGATGAGAAGCAGAAAGTGCTAGACCCTACAAGAACGCGCGGAATATTGTGATCTTAGAAGTAGCGGGCAAATTACTACTCTTGCTTCTAATTAGCTGTGAGGGAATATATGTATTAGTGTCCTTTCCATAATGGATCTCCACCCGCTTCCCAAAATAGCCTATTTTCGCATATGCTGAATGCTTATTATACGTCATGGTCAACCCCTATGGCAAGCCAATGGAAGTTGCTTTGGACTCAAGGAAAGTGGGCCAACTTATGCCGAGTAATTGCACCCAAAAGTATTTGGCTGGTTGACGTATGATAAGCAGCTTCCCCTGGCTGTAACAAATTACGCAGCCTACTTTAGGCGACCCTTGAAATTGTTCACGGTGGGTTTGATCCGAGACAAGCCAGTTTGGAAACCGCCTTGCATTCTCAATGACTTAATATACTGGTTCCTTGCAGCTACGTGCGAGCCTGCAAATCGCAAAGAAGAACCCAGAATGGGTGAGCGTTTTGCCGTATACATCATGAATTCGACGATCATGCAAGCCAAGATCCTTGGCAAGTTCCCCAGCTTGCGCTCTCCCTTTGCCAAGGAAATTGGGTTGGATATGTTGGATATATTTTGGCGCCCTTGTCGGTGCCCTGGATCAAAATACTCTACAAACAATTTCCATCTCGCCCAGCATGCTTCTATACAGGTCTCTGTTTGCCGCTTTCTTACTATCTTTGTCTGCCGTCGCATGGCAACACGAAACGAATTTGAGCACCGCCAATCCACTTAGTGCAGGTTGTGCCAAAGCAGTAGGCTCTATTATAGTATTCTTTGATGGATGCTCACTGACATTGGAAATCAGTGCGCAGAGCTATCGTCTGAGTTTGGACCCAATCTACACTATCCAGCCGATGGAAATTTTACGGTTTGGGACGCCAAACAGACGGAGGTTGAATCCGCCTGCCGCGTGGAGCCATCCAATTCCCAAGATGTCAGCAAGGTCCTGAGCATACTGGTCGATCATTGGTGTCGGTTCGCAGTAAAGGGCGGGGGCCATGCTCGCAATTCAGATGATTCGGTGTCGGTTGGCGGCGTGACCATCGACATGCACTTGATGAAATCCATCCAAGTGGCTCCCGATCAAAAAACGGTAAATCTTGGCAGCGGCCACGTGCTTTATACAATGTACCACGGCCTCGAGGCGTTTAATCTGACCACGATAGGCGGTCGAGTCGCTGATGTCGGATTGGGTGGTTATGCCTTGGGCGGAGGGATTTCTAACCTCTCACCTAAATACGGCCTGGCCGTAGACAACATCTTTGAATATGAGGTATGTGTTGATTAAACCAAAGCAGCGGCGATGCGCACGCATCTCGACTAATAGGGAGGAACCTTAGATTGTTCTGCCAAACGCGACGATTGTGCATGCGAGTGAACATCATAATTCTGACTTGTACTTTGCACTTCGAGGTGGAATGAATAATTTCGGTATCGTGACGCGCTATACCATGCGCGCAGTGCCTCAAAAATATATTCTAGGCGGCGACAAGACGTACAGCTCAATCCAGAAGGACAAAATCGCCAACGAAGCCTTTGACCTCACCACTACTTGGAAGAACGACACCGATATGGCGTTCTCCTATGGTTACAGCTATGACCAGGCATCCGACCAATTTTCCCTTAGTTTCTCGCATGCATATGCGCGACCAGTTCTCCACCCAGCTCCCTTTACCCGCCTCGAAAGGATTCCGTACAAGTCAAGTACGGTGCGCATTGATCGAATGAGTAATCTGAGTCTAGAAGGCGCTTCTCATACCCCATCCGGGAGCCGGTATGTTTCATTATCATCTAAAATGAATTTACTACGCTGTCTAATATCATTGAATTCGAAGTAATCTGTTCGCTACCATGACATATCAGCTATCCGCAGACATGGACCGACGCATCATGGAAATCATGGCCGAAGAAATCCAGCCTATCAAACACGTGGCACATTTCTTCCCCAACGTTATTTTTCAACCTCTCTACGAAGGTGCAATCCGCGCGGGACATGAAAGGGGTGGAAATGCTCTTGGGATCAAAGCCGATGGTCCCCTGACCAGTGAGTTGCCTATTTCGTCAAAAGAGCTATTCTTTACCTCCCTCATTCAGATGCTGACAACTACTTTTTGTACTAGTTTGTCTTCTAACTGTGATGTGGACTGATCGTCAGGACGATGATGCTGTGAATGCATTTGTGCAAAAGTGGATTCGACGCGTACAAGCCGCTACTGTACAAGCCGGAAGCCACCATCACTGGCTTTACATAAACTACGCTTACCACCAGCAAGACCCTTTCTCTGGATATGGCCAACGCAACAAACAAAGGCTGATTGACGTGCAAAAGGCGATCGACCAGCGGGGAGTGTTTACCTCTCGAGGTTTGTGTAGAGGTTATTTCAAGTTGCAGTAGCAACGGCATGGTGCAAGCGTCTGCGAGTGATTACCTATGAGATAAGATCGACAATATGAAATGGCTCTTCGTTTTGAAGCAGTCACACTAATTCAGAATAACTAGAACCGTAGGCAATTGCCTATTGGTTTAACAATAGGCTCGTAGGAGTGATGTCCCACTCTGAGTTTAGCAGGTATGTTCAAGTGTCAAACATCAGAGGTTCTTCTCCACGTATTCCGCGCCAATAATTGGTTGATCTGGCAAGGTCATCACATCCTCTGACGACCCAGTTCCATTTACGCAAGAAAGCCTCGCTAACCTCCCACCCCGACGGATGCCATGGACTTTGCCACACAATCAATCCGGTCTCATCGTTTGAAACATCATAGAAATCAACAAGGTCATTGCAAAGGGCAGTTTCATCGAAGTTTCCATATCTTTGTAATAGGTTATTCCTCATTTGGGGGATCGGGAAGAGGTCTATCCACGGGTGATGGGAAATCTCCTGCTGCAAAAAAGTAGGACGGAGACTCGCTGGGCAAAAGCTGACTCGAGATTCAGGTACACCTTCACACCAGGGGGAAATGGCTTCTTCATCTAGCCAATCCATAGTGAATCTCAGCACGGACGTGTTATCCACAAGCGCTCGAAAAACGTTGAATTGGATCAGAGTCAGGAGTTGATCGACTCTTGGAGAGCCTAATGCGTAGTCTTTACGAGCCGAAGCCTCGTATTGCGCCATGATCTGCTGAAGCTCCGCCCGATTCATTTTGTGAATGGATTTTGGTGTTTGATTACTCAATTCAGATGAAACTGTATCTTGATCGCTTCTCCCACTGTTTGCGGCCGCGTTGATGCATTTCTGCTCATTCTTTTCACGTTGATCTTCCGTGGTTAGAGGGCTCTTTGATCGCTCTGACATCGCGGGATTTGTATCGGATTCAGGAGTAGGTTTTGCTCTTCGTCGACCTAAGACCACAGTCCAAGGTCAGCCCAAAGCCACGCTTATAAATGAGAGAGAGCATACGATAAATCCTCTGGTTCAAACGATTTTGAAACTTCCGCCGAAGCACTGGGTCAGTGAGACCGGTCCAATTCTCTTCGGCCTGACGCACTTCGGACATCTCTGGCATGCAGCCTACTGTAAGGGCTTCCTTATCTCCATGGGATGTATTAATATTCTTAGTCATATTCATTGAGGTTTACCAACCTGAAAGGACCTGACAAGCCTCGTAAATAATCTAACCTTTGTCCAGCATGAGCCGCTTACTCATCTTATAAACATAAATATGGGTGTTGATGACGTATAGTAAGCAGGTTGCATAGGTCCCCATACTTTCTCCACTAATATATGCTGATGCAACCAGTCCAGTCGATTGTAGGAGGAAGATCCTCGACCTGGGCCAAGCTGGCTGGAAGCATCGAATAATACGTACTAATGTGGCACTATACCAAATGGCTCTCAATGCCCTCAATGCCATGACCCAGAAATTACAATGTCTTTGCAGATACGATGACGCCAAGAAATGCCGAGATGCCGTGGATTCCCCCTGTCAGCCTGATCCAGGTGTAGCTCTTTTATCTTCCATCGGATCTTAGCTCATATTCGTAGTTGAGCCTTCGTCTGTTTCCGAATTTGGTGCTACAGGTGGTGGTTGCCTGTACTTATGGAATATAATTGGAGGCGAAAATAGATTACACTCATCATTGTCTCCTTAACCGTTAATTGTACTAACCTAAGTTTGATCACACTCGGTATGAGCTACATGTACATTATCCCCATCAAATGAGACATCGTAAATTACCGTAATGAGATTTTATAATTACATGCACCATCCAACAGGTACTGAAACAACTACAGATTCCTCAACGAAGCCTGCAACAAGCTCATCAATGGTTTATTGAGGATATAGTCCGGCAAACAGATTACCTGTTACACCTTTTGGACCCTGAACAGCCACGCTTGAGTCTCCATACCAGTAGTATTCGACGACTTTTCGACCCCGTTACGACTCGTTCAAGTTCGCCGCGAGTAAGATAATGCGAGAGTTAGAGAGTATTGAAATCGGAAGCGAAAGGAAACTAATAGCTTACGGGAATGTGTTTCTCTGATAGGCGAAGTCATGTGAGCGACATTTTCCGGTGTCGAGATGCGTTACGACTAGATTTATTGGTGACTACGCCTAAGCCCACTTATAACCGAGAGCGACTATAATTAATAATACTCCCAGCGAAATGATCCCTTTCGTCAGAATGTGCAGCATCCTATGATCACATGTTTTTCCATGATGAAGCTTTTACATCATAATAGTTTCTTAATGCCGATATCAAAGACGTAGTTACTTCCCAAGTCCCTATAAAGATCGCGGGCTTCTAAATGCTCCATCTCGCTTCTCTCTTCACGCATTGAAATACTTGTTTTCATTCAGACTACAGCATTGCTTTTTACGAAAAGTCTTCCACGCTCACTATGAAGGCCATCGTTGTTGAAAAATATGGGCCAGTCGAAAATCTAGTAGCTCGAATAGTTCCTGATGCAGGTGCACCAGAGGGACGTGATTTGTTGATAAGGTATATTTTTGGCTGATGCTGCATTTTATTCGTGTTAGGCTAAAAATAATCGGTACCAGAGCAGAGGCATGCTCTGCCAATCCTATTGATATGAAGGTACGCGCTGGTACTTAGGATGACTATCCCGGTATGTACCCAGTGTAAGTTGTAGTCGCAGTACTACGTGTTAACAATTTCAAGACTACTACACTCGTGTTCCCCGCCCGTACCAAATTTGTGGCTACGATGGCGCGGGAATAGTAATGAAAGCAGGACCTGATTGTACGCTGTTCAGTGAAGGGGATGAAGTTTTCTACTCTGGAAGTCCAGTCAGACACGGATCCAACGCGGAATTTCAGTTAGTGGATGAGCGCTCTGTGGGACACAAACCAAAACGACTGGATATGACTGAGGCTGCTTCAATGCCACTGACGTATATCACTGCATATCAGGCACTCGTTGAACAGATGGAGATTGAAACGAAGGAGAATGCCGCAGTGCTTATAATCAATGGAGCAGGTGGTGTTGGAGCCGTGGCTAGCCAAATAGCCCGTCAGCTCCTCGAATTGCCGGTTGTGATTACAACCGCTTCCCGCCCGGAGAGCGTTGACTTCACAAAAAGAATGGGAGCAACACATGTTCTCAACCACAGGGATGATTTGGCAAAGCAAATACAGAACCTCAACCTCGATGTTCCTGTGAAGTACGTGTTGATTTCAGTTTTTTTGTAACATATGACTTACCATAGCCAGGTACATATTTATAACGCATTCTGCCGACCAATATATGGACGCGTGTGCAAAGATTTGTATGCCATTCGGCAAAGTATGCTCTATTGTACAAGGTCAAGCCAAAATGTACGGCACAGAGTTCATGGCAAAGTCGTTGACCTTCATATGGTGCCTCATTGGGACCAAACCTGTCTATCACACGGATGTGGAGTCTCACCATCGAATTCTAGAAGATTTGAGCCGGCTGTTGGATTCTGGAAGAATTCGGTGTCATTTGACTAGTCGATTTGGTCTGACACTAAATGGTCTTCGTGAAGCACACCGGTCGATAGAGAGCGGAGGTAATATTGGAAAGACTGGTCTAACGATTGGGGACATTGGCGATGCTGAACGTTTCATGTGATACCAATAACTCAACCAAGTAGGAGCTAGCGCTGTGTGCGTTCTGCACAATTTGTACATACAGCGGGCTAGATGATATGAGGCTGTTGATCAGGATGCCATCACTGCAGTGAGATGTGATGTTATTAGTTTCGGGGCCTGTTCGCAGATTTGCGAATACAGATCTGCATGTACCAAAAACGTGGTGCTTCAGCATAAATATTGTTCAGCTAAATAGTTTCGTTTCTTTCTGCCGCCAGACAAGGTGCATGATGTGCTCAGCTAAAGAGTATTGAACACCTTGCACAAATTCTCTAGCAACCTGGTTCGTATTAGGCCAGTCAAACAAGATAGCTCCTGTTTTATACGAAGACGTCCTCAGATGTGCAGCTCACTCGAGATCTTGATAAGTCTTAGCGTAGACTAAGTGCTTAATAGGTGCCTCCAATCATTTCCCAAGTAGTAAGTGAGCGATCGGTAAGCGTTCCTTAGACTTCACTGATTCATTACGTGACGCGGACAGGAATCTACCTAGTAAGCCTCATTCTAAGCGCCCTCATAAAAGCCGCGGCAGTCAAGATAGGGAAGCCCCACCTGACAAAGGAAATATGGTACGTATAGCTGCCTAGGTAGGCTGCTGACTCCCTGTGGAATTAACAGTGAAGATTATGCAGTACGAGCTAACTTTTTTCTTTGAGGCCAAGCCCAAACCTGCAATTATGCCAAGCACCCTAGTCATCTAAAATGGCTTCAACCCCGACGCCAAGTGTATGAAGCCCACTAAAACATTTAGCGGTGACGTCTTCTTGGATCCTAACCACACGAGCAGAGACGCAGCGATTGCCGATGTCACATTTACACATTGTGCCCGAACATATTGGTATGGTATACCCACGAGAAAGGCCAGATGATCAAAGTTGTCACCGGTAGTGGCTGGATCTGTGACAAGGGAGGTGTTCCACGGCGTTTGAAGACTGGCGATGTTGTCTGGGCTCCGGCTGGAAATGCCCACTGGCATTGAGCAGATGATTCCAGCATTATGACACAATTTGTTATTGGAATTGGGTTCCTGTCTGGCATGATGCTGTGACTGAGGGGGAATATAGCCAGAACTCGAACAACTGAGAATGACATGCTATAGTTACTGATGTTCACCACCAGCATGTTGCTTTAATTATACGGTACAAACAAGTATTTTTTTGGCATAGATAAGTAGGAGGATCGACATTTTGGCCTAAAAGGGCTAGAATATAAGCAGGACAAGCAAGGATCTGGACTGCTACCACCCAGTTCCAGGGGTTAGCATACTATATGCAACATGCTTACGCGACTAAGCCCGATTTGTCAAGACCCGAAGCTAACAAGTATATGGCGATCTACCATCCGGATGCACAGTCTCGACTATAAATCTCGCCTCGGTGAACCAAGATGGTCTTCGTCTTTCTCTCTTTGTCAATTCAAGCCATTCTTTCATCATGGCACTAAGTAACACCACTGCCATCAATGCAATGATGCGAGCGGTCGTGTGGGAAGGCAATGCTTACAATGTCAGCGTTGTTGATCTGCCTAGGCCTACCATCATCAATCAAACCGATGCTGTTGTTCAGATGTCCAGAGCAGCTATATGTGGATCGGACTTGCACATCTATCGTGGCACAAATGTTGGCGAGCCTGCTCCATTCGGCCTTGGTCATGAGGGAGTGGGTTATGTATCTGAGATCGGGTCTGGCGTTGGCTCGCTGAAAGTTGGTGACCCGGTGATTGTTCCTTTCACCATCGACGAGGGTCACTTGCACTCTGACCTGACCTCGCACATGTATGCTTCGTATGGCAATGGAGGAGGTATAGGCGGAACACAAGGTAGGCGCTCCCTCGTACTACATATCTTCGATATCAGCTAAGATCAAACAAGCTGAGTATCTACGCGTCCCCTACGCGGACAATGGTCTCATTCCTGTCCCTTCTCTGGAGTACACGAACTCGACGACAAACAAGACCGTTTCACTGGCAAATGACTATCTTATGATGTCCGATATCTTCGCCACTGGCTGGGCTGCCCTCGACTACGCTGGATTCAACCCAGGCGACACTGTGGCTGTTTTTGGAGCCGGGCCGGTTGGCTTGATGGCTGCATACTCAGCCATGCTTCGAGGTGCTTCCACTGTGTACAGCGTGGACTATGTAACCGATCGGCTGCAACTAGCCAAATCGATTGGAGCCGTCCCAATCAACTTTCTCGATTCCGATCCGGTGACGCAGATTTTGGCACTCGAACCGAATGGGGTTGCTCGAAGTGTTGACGCAGTTGGATACGAGCAAGTGAACACAAACCTCACGGTCCAGTCGGACGTCATTATTCGCAACATGTTGGCTGTGACGTCCTCGGGTGGTGGCATGGGCACTGTTGGAGTTTATGGCGCAGAATCCGATAATACGGCGTCGGCGCCGCGTGCTTCTACCGTTAACACACACTTCAATTTCTCACTTACAGATTTCTTTGTTGGAGAATTTAAATGGGCAGCTGGGCCTTCGAAGCCGATTGAGCTCGCGCCGGAATTGTTGCATCTTGTTTCTTCAGGCAAGGCTAGACCGGGGTTTATTGTCAGCGATGTCATTAATATTGAGGATGCACCGGAGGCCTACGCCAGATTTGAGAGGCATGATACCACGAAGGTCGTGATTGATTTTGGTTTGTAAGGCCGGGGATTCTCGGCGCACTTGGGCCACTACATGTATCATATCAGGGGAAAGATGTACAATTTCACGTGTACAACATCTTGGAGATGCGTTTAGATGCGATTTTGAGTGGAGACTTCAACAAATGAAAGAAACGATGTTCAGAAATTGAGTATAGGTCAGCGGCTTAACTCCGAGATCTCCGGGTGATTACCTCCCGATTTCGGCTTCCGCTTCGAGCCTTCGTTAGTCTTTTGCAACTTTTCGAAGAGGCCCTAGCACAATAAAATAATCTATGAATCAATCCGCAACAACTGCAGTGGTTCCAGTTGGACTATCCTGATTTGCGTGGACAAATGGCCCGTCGATCTATTGAATTGTCTGCATCATCCGGCACCACAGGATTTGGTTTGACAACATTCTGCTTTTACTTGGTCTGACAAGCTATCTGATTGACACCTACTCCGTCTACGCCTCGTCGGCCTGGGCAGCTACAATTTTCCTGCGGTCAATAATCGGTGCAATATTACCGCTCATCATGCCCGATACGTATGCTAGACTGGGGATTTATTGGGCGTCAAGTGTTCCGGCAATTTTGTCACTTTCCTGTGTATCCATACCTATATTGTTAATTTTCATGGTCCCTGTATCCGTGAGTAATCTAAATTCGCCCAAGAAGAGAGGAAATTGCAGGACTCTGTCAATTCCGCTCATCAGGGGAACCATGAAGTGAAACGCATGTTTAGAGATAGAGCGAGTCAATTGCATAGTCAATGCGTTGCTTTTGTTTGATATTTCACAATCCAGTCATTCGATACAACAAGAATCTGAAAAGAGTGATTGATGGAAGCCTGTGCTAGCATTCACTTAGTGAGCCTTAACTCTAGCAAGCGGCGAGATAGGAAAGCCCCACCGGCAGGGATGATTCGGTACATATAACTGCATATATTGCTGCATCCAATCTTGGCGTTCCAAAAATCGAAACAGGTTTTCTTCATATGCTATCTTTATAACGAAAAACATATAACACCGCTCCACTCCACCCAACACGAACTCCTAACAGATCACACATTCAGATAGTCAACCGGCCTTGGCGGCCTTGGGAGGGTACTTCTTTCCATCCTTCTCGACCTGAGGCGTGCAGGTACACCAGTCACCTGTGGGGATTGAGTCCATGACCGAAGGGATGTGGCTACCACAGCCCCACCAGGTGGCCTTGTCTACCATAGCCAGTTAGCTAGTGATTCACTCAGTGATCAATTGATACTTACTGCAGGACGAGCAAGTAGCCTTCATACACATTATGAATGGGATGGATGTGAATATTACAGAGAGGTGTGCGTAGATGAGATATGAAGCTATCTTGGCCTTCAAAGCGGGAGATTTATATGCTTTCTGGGCGATATTAGTCATAGCCGTCAATTGGGTCGCCGACGTCTAAAGCCCGAAACCCCGAGGTGTTATCGGTGTCCATTTTTAGGGATTTGATTGGGGTCTGGTTGTGACGCATCAAGCTGAGAATTGGCTACAGATCTCATAGTCTTCGCTGCCGTGAAGGCTGAACTGTGAATGAAGTAAAGTGTCGAAAATTTGAGTGGGGCGGATATCGCGGGGAATCCTCCGATATTCAACTTCAGCATTACAACCCCTTGCTGATACCGGGATTCAGAGTACCACTCGTGTTGAACGTGCAAATCAATCATGCCTGTTATTGCTGTGGCTGGTGGTAGTGGTGGCGTGGGTAAAACTATCGTGGAAAAGTTACTCGAGGAACCTAAGTTTGACGTGGTCGCGTTGTCTCGCAGTGTATGTCTGTTCAGTACCTTTACTTGACAAAGTACTGATAGTGTGATTTGTTAGGTGAGACAGGACCAGGGTCTGCAGAAGGTTCAAGCCGTGCAGATTGACTACGATGATGTCTATTCGATGACACAGGCGCTTGAGCGACACAACATCCACACCATTATATCCGCGATTGGCTTAGTTTCTGATGAGGCGAGTCAGTCTCAGTTGAACTTGATCGAAGCAGCAGACAAGTCAAATGCAACAAAGAGATTCGTTCCCAGTGAATACTCATTTGTGCAAACCGCCGAGTATGTTTCCAACTCCAACTGTGCGTTTTGTATGCTTACAATTTGGCAATAAAAGTTTGCTTTCCATTGACCCAAGTATTCAGTGGTGGCTCGATGCGGCAACTCGTCTGAAGACCAGTAACCTGGAATATACCAGGGTGATCCCTGGCTTTTTTATGGACTACTGGGGAATGCCACATGTCCAAACCCATTTGCAGCCATTTAGCTTTGGAATTGATATATCCAGTGCCACGGCGGCTATCCCAGGAGATGGTAACAATGTCATTTGTATGACATACACGTACGACATGGCTACTTATCTGGTCAAGGCACTTGATCTCAAGGAATGGCCTGAGTTCAGTGTTATTGTTGGGGATGAAGTTACCTACAACCAGATTCTGAGCATGGCTGAAGAATTTACTGGTAAGGATGCTGTGCACTTAATCTCAAATATTTATTCTGCTAACAATTTCTGAAACAGGCAAAAAGTTCGACGTCACTTACGATAGCGCAGACAAAATCAAGTCTGGTGATGTCACTGTCCCTGTCCAGCCTGAGGGAGTCGACTCCTCCACGGACGAGCTCAAGGAAATCACCGCACTAGTGAGCAGACTCACTATCAACAACGTGTTCAAGCTGCCAGGAGATCGACTCAACGCCCAGTTCCCCGAGGTCAAGCCAATCAAGATGCGCGAATTCTTACACAAGGCGTGGAAACAACACTGTGCATAGATTGCCTCCTACCCGGAGTTTTACATTACAAAGGCACCGTTCAGTTTAATATAATTATTGCGCGGAACTTGATTTAAAGAAACGATTTTTCATGATAACAGAACGTAGACAGCTAAGCTACCCATCGATTTTATTACTTCCACAAAACAATTTTGAAGCTCCAAGTCATATATGATATCCCCGGGCATTCCTCTTTGAGACAAATCATCCGTAATGATGCAATCGAACCATAACCTAGCAGACAGGGCCAGGACGATCAACTCCAACGCAGACCTGCCGTCCGGGAATGAGGTTGGAGCACCAGGGGTTGATGTCGGTGTTCCAGCACAACAGTTGTCTCATGGTGAATTTGTTCTGGTTGCGTGAGATGATGTCCCAGCAAGTATCTCCAAAGCCAACTGTATAGTAGTCGACGCCTGTTTTTGTGTTAGCCTGGCTTGAAAGCCCCGGTATATACTTTGCAGTCACTCACAGAGTTCTGTCATCTTCCAGGCTGCTGCGTCCACGTCAACTTTGGTAGTATCGACGGCCACAGACGCACCGAGGGAAGCGACTCCCAGGAGACATGCGATGTTTCTGATGGTGATGGCGACCATTTTGGATTTGGTTTGTTGGATTTTCAGGACTGTGGAAATGGAACTGGATTTTGTTGTCGATTAAAAGATGCCTGTAGAGAGGATTTCTTTGTCAATTTATATCTGGGATCCATTGAGTTCTGATCGAAGTATGGATCTTTTGGTATAAGGCTTCGCCCTGTCAGGCATGTGCATACCACTTGGAAAGTACGGTAACTACAAATTAGTCCATTGATAATATCTACTTCGGCTGCAAGTTGCATTCACTTTCTGTCACTGTAACCGTGGCTTTCCTCTGACTCTGGTGCTTTTGAAACAATATGAACAGCTGCATCGCAACAAGCTGAAAGTGAGCCAATAGGTTCAATGAGATCAACCTCGTGGCCTCATGGCTTGGTATTCTTTCGTTGTTTCAACCGTCTCGGTGAGACCGGCTACATTCTCTGTGTTCTAGGGTTACATTGTCCGTGGATATAATTATCAGAGAGTAGCCCACATCAGGGAAACCTAGCATTTGACGTATACCATAGTGTGACGATGACCCGAACCATGCCATTCATCTGGAGTATAGCCAGGGTAGTGCAAATATATGCTCGAGACATGCGTGCTTCATATCACAGATTGTGCGACAAGCTGAGTCAAGTGAGGCCGGTATAGAGCAGCGAATAGAAGTTAGCGATGCAAGATAGGCTTGGTGTTGGCTTCCGGCTATTTGCTAGGCAGCAAGGATTGTTATACAGAGTGACATTAAAGTCTGCATCAATGACACCGGGCAAACGGTTGTAGCCGGTATCAGAAGGACCAGAAGTATCAGTGAGCATTTTAGAGCAGGTCCAATATTCCGAGTTTCGAGGCCTGGGCCCGCTTCTAAATCGAGACATCGCCTTAATATCATAGAAGGAAACACAAAGATCAACCACTCGAGTTGAATGATATTCTTGGCAAGTGATACTCAATTTTGACAACTCCGGTCTTAGCCAAGACATTGGTATCACAGGTTCCGCTAATGTTTGCTGTCTTCTCTGGCACCTAGGATGGATCTTACATCCATTGAGGACTGCTTGTGAAACCGGCATGGACACTCTAATGCGTATCGAGTGATTACCGGTAGTGATTCATATAAGGCACTCTAGTATAGAAATATATAGATCAACATATGTCCGGAGAGTTCGAAGTCTTCTAGAATGCCAAGGTGTTCTACGCCTCGTCGGGCGTTGCACGTTGGGCCTCCCCGACGGATGCCCACGGGTGGTACACATTTTCCGAATTTCAATCACGCAATATGAGAGCTATCACAGACTATGGAGCAGAGACCCGGAATCAACAATGTCATGTATGACAGTGCTTTACGTCTCTAAATCTTGTATACTTTGGTACCTTCGTGTCAACTTTTGTATTGTATCGGAGCAATTGGAGATATCAATGACTCTGTATTTCATTACCCCTATTTCTCGCTATTTATTGGGGAATTTCTAATTATATGATGAGTCCTCGGGCACAGTTTATACCCGAAGCATTCAGATCATATATAGATCCGGTTTCATGCAGTATTTGTAAGCTGACGCCGACACTTTGTGGTTGCCGGAGGCAAGAGCTAACGACTCAGCCTGGGTGCCTGGGTGTCTGGGTGTCTGGGGCTTCCAACTCGCACAGGAAAACCCGAAGGTTCAATATAAAGCGGTTCTCAAAAACGCCGACGATAGTTTTGAGAGCTGGGTGGATTTTTAGTATCAGAGGCAAGAGATAAAGCCGCTCAGCTGTGGCGATACTAATCAAGGATTCTGTTTCATGGATGGGAACACTGGCAATGCTGTGCGCCTTGCCAAGGTATGTGTCGATTAGCCTCTATACACTGTCAGACATGATTGGATGCTTACTTTACAAAAGCATGCAGTGTCTGCAGACGAAAGAAGGTTAAATGTGATGGGACTCGACCGGTCTGTACCTCCTGCAGGACATTTCGATTACCTTGCAAGTACGAGGACTCCGTGCGACACAAGAGATAACACCAGTCAAGCGGCTTTTGAAGCCGAGGCCTGTGGAGGTGATCACGACGAAGGGTCATATACCCTCAATAACCCGAAAGGCGCAATGCGCTTCTTTGGTAAGTACTGGCTCACCGACTATCGTTTCGCAATGGTGACACGAACGACTGAGCTGATTCTACCGGTTACGCCTGGGCGCATCTTCTCATTTTTCCATTGCTTCCCCTGAGGGTGTGGGCTGGCTTGACAACACAAGGGGTAACAATATGTGGCGCCATGCCGTTCAGAGAAACCGAGGTCGGTGGAGGCTAGCCGACTGGTACCCTCGAGCTCTCCAAGATGATTCTCAGAGCAGGTGCTCACTGCCACTACCATCCAAGTCGGAGACATTAGAGCTGGTCCATGAGTATTTTGAGACCTTCAACAAGGCCGTGCCGCCATTCAGGCCTGAAAGCTTTATGATCCAGGTCAACAGACACTACTCGTGGAATCCTAACGAGGGATCCTCATGGTGGGCTGCATTTAATATTGGTCTTGCCTTTGCATACAAACAAAGAGCCGAGGGCTCAGGAGGCAGCGATGACTGGCAACAGTCCCTTTGGCCACGATAGAAATTCAATGAATGTGGTCACAGAGCTTTTCATGCGTACTTGTGACCTCCTCGCCGTCCAAGGGCTGCTCGGCCTGGCACTTTACTTCCAAGGGACGCCGAACCCTCAACCTCTGTTCATGTTTTCCGCTGTCGCTGTGCGCCTGTCGCAATCTATCGGGTTGCACAAATCCAACTCTTTTGGTCTTCCGGAGTCCCAGGCCGAAGAATGAAAAAGGATGTTCTGAATAGCGTTCATTTTAGACGCCGATGTCTGTCAGGACACCCACGACTTCAGCGCTGTACTTCCTTGCGAGGACCCACATGATGAGTTAGGTATGATGGAAATCAGAGGCACAAAGATCAACTTCTTCTCAGCTCTCGCTCGACTTGCTATTATACAACGCAAAGCCTGTGATACACTGTATAGTACCGAGGGGTTCAGGAAGACCCGTGAAGAGCTGATGAAGGATGTGAGAGCGTGCTTTGAAGAGATTGAAGCCTGGAAGCAAAGTATTCCACCAATAGTTCGGCCGCAACGAAACTTTGCGGGTTGTCACAACCCTTTTCTACCGCATATCTTAAGGCTTCATTTTGCCTATCATTTTTGCTATCCCAATATCCACCGAGCCTTTTTGGTCCCTCGAAGATGGTCAAATGCGCCAAACGAAAGACCGAGCGCTCCTGGGCTGCCTATCGATCGAGAGAACTCAACAGAACAATCAAACAGGGGCATCGTTTATTTTCCAGCAGCAGCGCTGGTCGCACTGTTCTCCCAGATCATAATCAACCTCTCCCAGATCATAGCCAACCCCTCCCGTCCTAACGCCAAATCTGATATCTTAAGGATCAACGGAGTCGTCGTCTTTTTAGCAAGAGTGGCATCCCAAGAACAAGACACATATATGGATTATGTCTTGACTAGTGTACTGATTGGAAAAATTCAGCACGAAGAGCGATCCACCGCGCCAAAAACCCCCCGGCTGAGCGCAGGGGGGCAAGCCAGCCACCTCAGTCTCAGGGACGAAGATGGGCACAAAATTCCAATTTGCGCCAGAGCCTTTCACGCCGGGTTTCAATATTTCTGAGCAGGCTTGGATAGATGGCAACATCGTCCATCCAAATCATCCGCATCTAGATCAAGCTTTGTATACTACAGGGCCATCGTCAATGGCTATTCCTCTTGCTTGGATTTGGCAGGAATGCTGGCAGGCGCNNCCCCCTCCCTTCTTTCTTACGATTTTGGTTTATTTGATCTGGCTTAGAATAATGGATAATTATGAATTTCGATTCATATTATATGGCCTTCGATTTTCATCAACCCTCATCGCTACAAATGCTTTGCTTGAACAACCTACACCCATGTGATGGTTGTATCATGATGGCAATTTGGAACAGGGGGACTTGTCCAGATGGGGCTTGCTTCCTTGTCATCCAATCTCGCAACAGGCCTCAACAGGTCAATTTGTCCCCATGGGCTGTCCTCAAACCTCATCATGAATGGAGAGTTAGGGGAAATATATTCGGGGAAGACATTCTTCCATCCATCGATTACCTCCATCATAATTTCCGTGACAAATTGAGCAGGTGAAGAGCGAACGAATGTGAACTCATCGAACGTCTTCTGCACAACCTCGACTGGGTAGAGACCAATCTCTTTGTCAAGCAGAATAGTGTCTCCTGCCACAAGCGAGCTCACCGCATGATAAGACCCGCCCTTCTTCGCTCGGTCTCGAATGCCCAGCATTGCTCCCAGGGCACCCAGAATGCCAGTGGTCATGTCGGAGATCGGCAGTGGTGGCAGAACACTTGTGCCTTCATCGAAGCCCAATGCCCGGCCCATCACGTACGACGCACCCGATGCGGCGTCTCCAATCTGCTGCCACCCGGGTCTCTCAGCAAATGGTCCACTCGGTCCATAGCAGTTTTCGTCGACATATACGAGGCCTTTGTTTCTCTTCGCTGCTACGCCGAGCATGTCTTTCAGGCCGAGGCCCTTGCCGTCAAGCGATCCATACCGGAAGCCTTGTACGAAGATATCTGCTTCGCCCACGAGCTCCAGAAGGCGGGCCTTATCCTCCTGTTTTCCGATATCCAGATCGATAGTGCGTTTTCCGGCGTTAAGGGCCAGTTGGAGGACCTATCTGAAATCAGGGTTGTTTCAAGACAGGGAAGAAATTCAACTCACATTCAAGTCGGCGAGCTTGCTGCAGTTGACACGGATAACATCCGCGCCAAATGACGACAATGTAGTACCAACAGTGGGACCAGCAATGATGCGCACCATCTCCAGTACCTTGATCCCAGCCAAGGGACGACGGTCAGGAAGCTGACGCAAAGGAACTGGAGGCGTCTCCTTCGCATAAGACTCATGTGTATAATTTATGAGAGGGTGTTCAGCAAGTCGCTTTCCCATCTCGGTATTCCTCCAACCCTCGGGGGAGTAGCAAATACTACCACACAGCCCATTTCTCACATTATGCATCTCAAGCTCATCGGCACTCCACCTTTGCACATGGCCCTTGATATACTCGTATCCCTCAGCGAAATCCTTCAAGGGTACATCCATGTCAATTCCCATGGACTTAAGCGTCTTACTCGCATCCAACGATCCGTGCAGTTGATACCACACCTTCGGGTCCTTGGTCGGATACAAAGCAGTAGCCCGGCCAGACAACGGACCAACACCGAATCCCTGATCAAAATTCCGGGTGAAGATCTTGGATAATGTCCCGGCCCGTGCAAGGGTCGACACATCCGATCCGTTCACGTATACGGTGAAGGTAGACGCGAGCCAGATTCCGGCGTGGTCCGTGTCCACGGTGACACTCGCTTCCTTAGCTGGCTTCCCGTCTCGCAGTTCGAGGAGCTCGTTTCCAACCACTCCGCACATGGCATGTAGCGCTGCCACCACCGCGGGGGATTTCATTGGACCCGGGACCATGGGATCTGGTCGGCCTTGGAACTTAACCGTATCCCATATCGCAGTGTCCTTTGTAAAGCCGGGTGTTCTCGATGCGAGGAGTTTGAAGATTCGGCAGGTGTCTTCTGGTACTGGGAGGACGGTTTTGTCAATATAAGTGCCAGGTCCGTAGATCTCATCTCCGGGAATGGTCTCGTGCATGTTTAAGATAGATGCAATAAACAAATAAGCAAATTTTATGACAGCCAAACCTCAACGGTCTGGGACTCCCGGCTATATTTATATGGACATATAAACGAAGTACATTATGCACGCCCCTCCTCTGCTAAATGGACCTAACCTTCTTAGGGGAGCTACACTAAGGTCGTATTCAAATGTCTGTATCGATCGCCGGCATACTTACTGCCTTGGGTATAAAGTTTGCTGGACGCCTAAAGAGACCCCTCCAAATCATTACTTGCCTCGGTCCATATTCCTCAGTGTTACCTGCTCTAGAATCCCAGTCCTTGGATCTACAAGAGAGGCTCCTACGTGTAAATTACGCAACTTTCACGACACTAAAAATTAGGTTCTCCACCAAGTAAATCACTGAGCGGAAATTCTGAGCTGTGAAAATTGATTCTACTGGTCTCTAAGGACACGATTTATGCATCCGTGGGTCTATATGTGGAGACACCCCTGCCGTACACCCGGATGCCAGCTTGCTGTATTTCCACGGGCCGCGGGATTTCATGTTGAGAGAGTTGACATATACGGGCTCTGTCGTTACCTCGGATACGATTGTCCGGGCCGACGAGTTGAGGGGTTGTGTCACAACAAGAAAGGATTTGCATAAGAAGTTATAAGAAATTTATAAGTTTATGATTTCATCCTTGGTTGAAATTGAATTGGAAAAAAGCAGATTTTGATACCTCGTTATCGATTATCGGTAGACGATAAGAACTATACGATGTCGCCCAGGTACATCGGTGGACGACCTGTCAGGGTTGCTAATTGCTCTGGATATCATGGTACGGTCTCAATAAACCGGTTAAGCAAGCGTATACTGACTGTACTGAAGGGGATCCTGCCTATGAAATGTATCGCCAAGCAACCCTCGGAGATGTCGATTTCATCACGGGAGATTATCTCGCCGGTATGTTGTTCCGATGAGCGATGGAGAAGTAAGCTCATTATATGAAGAGGTCAATATGGCAAATAATGTGCAGGCCTTCCAACGTGGGGAGCATGCAGGCTACGAGGAAACAGCCTGGGAAGGTATCAAGCAAACCATCGACGTGATCGCCGACAAGGGTATAAAAGTTGTGATCAATGGTGGGGCTCTCAATCCCAAGGGCCTAGCCTTTAAAGTAGATGAACTTGTTTGTGATTTTCTTTTCAATCTGCAATAGCAACCAGTTGCTGACTTGCAAAATTAGTGCCGCCAAAAAGGTCACTCTTTGCGAGTCGCATATCTATCAGGGGACGACCTCTATCACAAATTCGGCCCCAACATGCCCCAAACACCAGAAGAGCTAAAGCATCTCGATGCGGAAAATGAATCCGTCAAACTAGGCCCTCTTACATACGCCTTTACAAACATTGACAAACCAATCCCAATGGTCTCAGCGCACGCGTACCTCGGAGCTCGAGGTATCGTAGATGGACTCCGTCGAGGAGCTGACATTATAATATGTGGCCGTGTTGCAGACGCCAGTCCAGTCATAGCCGCTGCTTGGTACTGGCATTCATGGTCAGAGACCGACTATGATTATCTTGCTGGAGCTTTGGTTTCCGGTCATTTGATTGAATGCTCCTCTTATGTTACTGGCGGTAATTTCTCTGGCTTTGACCGGTACCCTATTGACACATTTGTTCAACCTGGCTTCCCCATTGCGGAGATTGATGCTGATGGGTCTTGCATTATTGCGAAGCATCCTGGTACCGGTGGAATGATCAATGTTGATACTGTTCGGTGTCAATTTCTGTACGAGCTTCAGGGAAATGTTTATTTGAATAGTGACGTTAGTGCTATTTTGGATGATATTATTGTCGAGCAGATTGGGGAGGATAGGTATATCTCTCTTTACTCTATTGATATTCGATGCCGGTGACTGACCTCTGTTAGGGTTCGGGTTCGCGGGATTCAAGGATGCCCTCCTCCTCCAACTACAAAATTAGCTGTCTTCTATCCCGGGGGCTTTGAGGCTCAGGTTTTGCTAAATGCTACTGGATATGGCACAGAGGCAAAGTGGGACTTGGTTGAAAGACAGATTCGACATTTCATCAGCCAGAATGCACTTGATCGTCTTGATACACTCGAGTTCCAGAGGTGGGAATGACGCTCTGCTATATTTGGAATCAAGTTTGACAAGCGATTACAGAATTGGTGTGCCTGCTTCCAACCCAGTGTCACAACGAAGCAGCACAACGTATCTCCGCATCTTTATCGCTGCAGTTTCCGCGGAAGCTGTGCTCGCTGTATTAGGGGCTCTAAAGGATATCTCGCTGAAGCATTTCTCAGGTGAGGAGTATTACTTAAATTCAATGAAACTTCAGCTAACGGGCATTATGCAGGTTTCCACTCGTCTCTTGACATGCGCACAGCAATTCCTCGTCCGTTCCTAGCTTACTATCCAGCAATAGTAAAACAAGAAGCACTAAACGAAGAGATAAACTTCATCGAAGGACCAGACTTTATTAAATCATTCCCAACAGGTCATCCATCAAAATATAAAGACCTCCAACCGCGTCAAAGCTACAACCACACCCTGTCCAGCGAAGAAAAAGCCCTCCTCAATTCCCCAACGAGATCAATCCGACTAGGTGATATTGCTCTAGCACGATCTGGCGACAAGGGGGCGAACCTCAATTTCGGCATCTTCGTCACTGAACAGAACCACTGGGCTTGGTTACGGTCTTACATGAGCCGGGAGCGAGTGCGGGATATGCTTGCTAAAGATGATGATTGGGATGAGTCTTTTTTGGTAGAGAGAGTTGAGTTCCCGCATATGTACGCTGTACATTTCGTTGTTTATGGGATTCTTGGGAGAGGTGTTAGTAGCTCGAGCCGGCTGGATGGGTTTGGAAAGGGGTTTGCAGATTACTTGCGTGACAAATTTGTTGATGCTCCTGTTGCAATTTTGGACTGAGGTTTGATTTATTCTTGAAGCACCGCTGTCTAAAAGGAAATTGATAAAATTGATCATCATAATATGTACATCATCTCTCATGAAACTGCCAGAACAGCAACTGCCCAGGGGTCCATATTGATGGAATAATTGCCCGATGGATTGAAAACGCTGGTTGTAACTGTCTGGACTTGCACATTGAAAGGCGTGTTGCCATGATACTGTGGACTAGAAAGCATTTCCAGCCTTCCAGTCTTGGTACCTGGGATTCTGACCTGGACAGTCTGCGGGTCCTTTGCGTAGTTCGCCAATTTCAAGTAATAACTTGAGTCGGTCTTTGAGGCTACCCAATAAACAGGCCCGAAATCTGCTGTCGTGTGGACTGGGACGATAGTATCACCCTTATTTGAAGCGAACATCTTCTGAACGAAATAGGACGTGGAGGGTGTTATAGAGTTGGGAGTCGAGTTAAATCCATAGAGTGTGGGCTATGGAGATAAGTCATTAGCCAGAACCCAAGTTAAAGGCCCAATAGTCCAATACGCCGAGTTTTCTTACCGACCAAGATACGAAGTCAAAGTGCTCCAGCAATGGAGCGTAGGCTGCCATTTTCACAATATCACTGTTGCGCTCCATTCCCATCATATATACAGCCTCGCTGCAGCTTCCCTGCATATACGGCCAGTAGATTCCCTCGGCACTTGACGTGTTCCGAGCTCCATATTCGCCAATCATCACTGGTTGATCCCGCGGCTGGTTATCAAATTGGTTGAACAATTTCACAAAGTCATCTGGCTTTCGATACAGATGCAGGTCAATGATCACATTCTTTGGAAGTGGTGAGGGAAGACAAGAGAAGTCTCCATTGGATGCAACAAATTTTACATCCGGGTACTTGTCGTGGATGGCTTTGTAGATCTGGTTAAAACGATCTGGGTAGCTCTCACAGCCACCAGTGAGATCGTCTTCGTTGCCGATTTCAACATACTCCACCTTCCATGGATCTTTCCGGCCATTTTCGATTCGCATCTTGCCATAATGAGTAGAAGAGTCCCCAAACAGATATTCCATCTCGTTCATTATGTCTTCCACAAAGGGTTCGAGGTCGGGCCCCGAGATAATATCCCCGTATGACTTGCCTGCCCAGATACCTAAAAGCGGCGCCATGTTCATATCTTCACACCACCAAAGATATTCATCTAGTCCAAGCGCATCTGTGTTGGGATAGAACCAGTCACTTTCTCTCCCTGGACGATCAACCACAGGTCCGATCGTAGTGTTCCACATCCATCGAGAATCAACCTGTAAGCCTTCGATGTTGTTGCCGCCTGGGAATCGAAGGAATGCCGGGTTGACCTCGTCCAGGAAAGAAGCGATGTCATCTCGCAGACCATTCTCTCTGCCATTGAATGTCGGTGGAAATAGCTGGATGTATCCGAAATTAAGTGAGCTACCACCCACTTTCGAGCCATCGAAAGTCAGATGCCATTCATTCTCTCCATCTGGAGAGTGGGTAGCGTTGAATGATGTTTTAAACTCCGTAAACTTCGAATCTGTACTCTTGACAGTCATGTTGTGATCAGCGTACACGATTCCACTTTGCGACCCGATAAGTTGTAGGTTGATAGTTCCCGAGTATCTTCCCATCATCCAAAACGAGCTTTTGTAAGTGGCCGCTAGAGCGGGAACTCCTTTATAGCCAGTATTTGCGAAACCCACATAGTCCGTGACTCCATTGGGTACTGCAACCTTGAGCGAGGACGTAATAGAATTGCTGACAGATTTTGATTTATCTTGGGAGATAGTCACATTTCCCACCGGCGCATAGGCTGTCATTCCGAGGCTCGTTCCTTGAAAACCGTTGTTCTGTAGTAATTGGCCATGGATTCCTCCGTCGCCTTGTATAGTTAGCGGTGCTCGCGATCTGCCAATGTAAATTCCATACCGGAATGGTCCATTTCCTAGTGATAAAAGGTCAGTCAAAGAAGTCTTCACATATAAAGCCAAATTACTGACTTCGAACATGATCCCATAGAGCAGCGGACTCGACTTATTCCCCCCCTCACTTGCAACAGTAAGAACAACCGGTCCACTCGGGCTATTATTACCCGGAGCCAGTGCGCCAGCAAGACATGTAATCAACGCGATACACGTTGCCGCGCCAAGACTGGCGTATGTCACCAAATCAGACTTCATAGCAAGTAAGAACTATACGCAAAACCCATGAGAAATCCAAAATGCGAAAAGAGTCGACGAAGATCTGTGCAGCGGACATCAAGCTTTATCTCGGAAGCACTGCCCCTGTTGTAGACGGAGCAATTTGGTCGGCTATGGAGTGTGATTCGCGGTTGATCCTGACCTGATCGGCATTCTCCACAGAAGGCATCATGGACCCTGAAATGGTAACTCAATGCAAATCATCGCGGGTGAAACAGGTTATAAACTTTGGCCCGCTGGTGCCTTTAACGCGGGCGACACAGAGCGGCCAATAGCTGTTGGCTATTACACCATATGCGATGGTTTATGGTGCTCCACGCGTATGCGTAATCTCTTTCATAGATGTGCGTGATGTGGAGAGCGACAAGTTGGAGAAGTCATGACGTCGGATACTCTTCTTCTCATATGGGGTGGTGATCCTTACCCAAGCACTCAATTCCGTCTGACAGTTCTAAGGGGTTAATATCTCTGAATTCACCTTTTGCCTCTCAACGCAGCCATTTAATTTGGCCGGCAGAGCGAAAGTGCCACTGAACCTTTTGTGATTCTAACCTCAGGAGGGCTTGGCAGGGTTGAAGTCAATTGTGGTGCCTGATTCCTCAGGCACTACATCCTTAACGTTAACGTTAACATTACTTGCCAAGCTGAGAGCACTCTCTAGAAATACCGTGTAGTGAGTGTTTGACAGAAAACCTCGCTACACGTCAAGTTAACGCCAATTAAGATGCCACATGCTACGAAGCAGTGCTACAATCGAGGAATTGTCAAAGAAAGCACACAGCATTGGGATTGGTAAAGAAATACAAGGAAGGCAACAGGATGACGAGAATCGGTAAGTAAAAGAAGCCTAAAAGCCCCACTTGGGACCATGGGCAGGAACAGGAGCGGCATCTTCGCGGCGAGAGATCTCCTCGCGAAGCATGGTGATGTCCTTCCCAAGTGCCCGGGCATGGCGCTCAACGACGGATTTTTCGTGACAGATCTCACCATAGACTAGCCATAGCTCCTCTACTGACGCGTCGAAAAGCTCATCAGTGAGCCGCGATGGCTGGAGGATTAATTCCGAACGGATGGTAAGGGGCTGATCCTTGGTGTTGCTAAGGGGAGGAGCGGCAGACTTATTCTTCTTGCCGGAGGACTTCGGACGCTTATGTGTGGCGGCGGCGGGCTTTAGTGGTTTGTAAATCGTGACATGCTTATCCCTCAAGCGGCCGGAACGACGTGGTGTCATAGTGGCGGCTGCATTGCCATCGGAGGCGGTGACCTGAGGGACGATACCGAAATCTTCGTCGATGCTGTCAGGCAAGCGGCACGGATCAGGGCCATGGAGGTCGGTGAAACTCCGTACTTGTTCTTTGTTATCTGCAGGCGCATCTGGTTAGCTATGCAAGTGCTATTTTGGGCTTGAAGATCACAACAAACCGGAGTCTGTGGCTTCCTGGCCCGTATTGGTACTCATATGCGTGGACCCAGGACCTGGGGCGTTTCCAACAGTATTTGGGAGGTCATACTGGGAGGTATAGCCAGTGTAAATGATGTGCCAAAGGGCGGTGTCGTTTGGCGCAGGGCCGGCCTGGTCGGGCGAGGATGCCATAGTGGATGTTGGAAGGAAGATGTGAGGAAGAAATAGCGAGTGAAATGGTTGTACAGTAGCCAAAATGGTGCATTTTCATTGTTATGAAAATAAACTGCCGGCACAAATATCATCGAGAAACCAATTAATCGAGCGCAGTCTTCCTCTCCTTGCATCATCTAGTTCCTCATCCTTTCCTTGGGCTCTGATGCTCACAATTTCAGGATGGATTACGTTGTGGTTTCGTAAGATAAGCTTAAACAAGCCCTGAACCCGTGGGAGCTACATGAGCCGCATGAGAGGAGCCGCATGAGAGGGGCCCCTGTGGGTCCGAAGCATACACTGACGACAAAACAAGAGTCATCTCTGGCGTGGGCAAAGGCATCATTGCTTCTAGCGTGGGCCTGCCCATCCGGAGCATGGCCCTCAAGCTCACCGATATCAAGATCGAACCTACCATCAATCTTGATGTCGCGACGCTGAGCCTTACCGAGTAGGGCCCCTTATCAACTGTCAATGACCCATGCTGGCTGCCCTAGACATGGCGAAAGCTTGTTACCGATGACGGCGGCGAAACGGACCTTGACCTGAGCAGCTACGAACGATACCTCATGACGACGCTTCACCCAGATTCTGGGTACCTTGTCATTGTTTCCATGTCCGAATTTGACAATATCATCGACAATGGACTGCTTGGAGCCATGAGGGACATGCTCGAACGTATCAAGAATAAGCCCCAAGGCAACAGATATGCCAACAAATACGTGTCACAGGTGGTGAAGAGTATCCTTCAACTTGCTACAGGCGTACCCGAAGTCTCTCAGTACATACGCGGAATCCTTCCAGACTTGCCCCTACGCCATTAAGAATGTCCGCAATGTCCCCAAAGAAGTGGTTGGTATTCTTATGGATTTGCCAGAACTCGCGAAGTACATGGACTAAGTCACAAAGGGCACTCCCGAAGTCGACAATGACAAATTCAACAACATCATGCGTCTCGGGAGCCATTGATGCATATTTCGTGAGTAGTTCATTTTTTGGCCTCTCCGGGTAATGCGTATACAGTATGGCGATAACTATGAATCGTTACATGACCAACTCATGTAAACGGAAAAGAACCTTGAATACGGGTCATTCATTGTTCCGGGTAGGCGTGTGGCATATTTCCAAGTTGCCAATGTGGGCAAAGCACTAAACCAAGTCTGCCTTGCTTTGCTTGTTGGGGCTTGGTTTTATCCAATGGGGTTCAAAAATATTGTACAGCTTCGCCAATATAACACCCTCCACAATCAGGTGAAAGTCTCACCACCATTTTCCAAGTACTCAACCTCTTCCGGGGTGGAAACCCTTCCAAGCGCCTGGTTCCGATGCGGGTACCGTCCAAACTTGTCAATGATGACCTTATGCCTTTTCTCAAACTCATCATTCATCTTCAAAAAGTCCCTGACAGCATCTATTTGGTTGGATAGAACATCATAGCATTCCTTTTCTTCCTCAGATAGTGTCGACGGGTCCCTAGCCACAAATCCCTCCATATCTTTAGCTGTATCCGCATGCACCTGGATAGCCTTCTCATGAACCGCCGGACTTTCGGAGTGCATGAGGGGTAAATGGAACCAAGTCCGATAAGTTAATCGAAAGCGGAAGTAAGAGGACTGAATCGGGATGTCTTCTTTTAGTGCCTGTAGGGCAATTTTCTCGGCCAAGGCTGTGCCTTGGTTAGTCACAGTATTCTCCAGATGTACGGGGTATGTAGCAAGATGATAAGTACTCACGATCAAAGTTTTTAAAGACCAGTTTTGATTCGTCTCCTCGAAAGCAGTTGCGAGGCATCTGGTCTACCAGGATGATCATGTTAATCCAATCCATTGGGGACGATGGATTCACCGCAGCGATTATATCCAAAGCAGATGCTCCGGAGCTAACAATTGTTTCCAGAGCTGGGCGGAATTTCGTGCTTTAGCTCGTTAGACTTGATATGCGGCAATAGTTGAAGATTGGTAACTTACACGCAAGCCTTGTCGAATTCGGGATCGCGCGTAAACCACCGACCCATGTCGCTCATCTTTGGTAGGATGAGAGCTTCTTTACTCTCCAGATGATCAAACCATAAGGTATGGACGTCATCGAGGAGAATTGGCGTGAGAGTCTGCTTCAGCTCGGACTGGTTAACCATGGTGACGGGCGATGAGTGAAATTTGCGTATTAAGTTCGGTCCGTAGAAGCCTCGGTGCAAGTATGACCTCTCAATTGCTTGCACTCGACAGCTTTGGGATGATATCGGACCTGTTGCAGGGATCACCACTGGCTTCAAAGGATTTAATCTCGCAGTTTGAAGGAGTCTTTTTGCAACTGCCTGTCTTTGAATGAGAATCATGGTGAAGAATAAATAGAACACGGTAGCATACCTCATTACGTATTATATGTGACATGATATTCCAAGTAGTTAGTCATTACCAAGCAATTAACCTTGAAGTCCGAGTGCCGAGATCGCGGTGACTGGTGTGCTGAGTCATCATCTGCATTTCAACCTCATCGCAAGCCCTTCCAGGCTAAAGAGGCTAAAGATTGGATAATTGTGAATGATATGTCACTAGTACCCTGGTTTATGTACATATCAAGGCGAATAGAGAGGGACGAATTGCATATTATGTCAGAAGGCCGAAAGAGGGCAAAGTTTCCCAAGATAACGTCCCCGCACACTTCTCCTCACACTATACTCCGCATACTACTTGGTCATGTTCGATCACCTGGATCTTTTTGATATATTCATACTCCTTCGGCAGTGATGCGTCGAGTTAAAAAATCTCGAAATGGCTGTGGGAGATGCAAGAGTAAACGAGTCAAATGCGATGAGCTTCAACCAGAGTGTTCCCGGTGCATACGTTTAGGGGTCAGATGCCCTGGATATCTTAAGTCTCTGCGATGGATCACCGAGAGTCCTGCCGCATCAACCTCCGATGCAGAGGTCAAGTCGACTGCGCCGGACCAGCCGCCTGCTTTGCCGCAAGATGAATCGACCATCGAGCCTCACGACTCGGCTTTAGGGGGCTTCGACTTGGAAGAGTCAAATTCCCTCTGTGGTAATCTCTGGGATCTCCCGGGGGGTGGCTTACCCGAATTGACGGATTTATCCTCAATGACGGCAACGTCGCCGTCCTTTTCGCAATCAAGAGATTTTGCTCAAGGTTTCGGCCAGTCTGGAGATGTTGGGGCTGATCTTTCGCATTTTATGTCACTCATTGGGCCAACACCCGCGCCCGAGGAGCACGTCGAAACTGTGTGGCGAGACTTCTCGCCTTCGGCCATTGTCCGCAGCTATCCACCTATGTCTCAACGGTCTGCGCCTCGTAACTTAACGACAATATCTCGTCCGTTGAACAACCCCTCATGGACTCTTATCGAATACTATTTCAAGGAGGTAGCAGCATTGTTCTCGAGTTACGACAGTCAAATGAACCCCTTCCGAACAACGGTATCTCGTCTCTGGGGGTCTTCTCTCGCAATGTGTCGAACAATGCAAAGCATGGCAGCCGCAAAGCTTGTCAACGATTTCCCTCAGTTCGGGCCAATGGGCCGGCAATTGCGCAGCGAGGCCGTTGAGATTATCAGTCGCGAAGCAGTAATGGACGACAAGTCTTTACTAGCGCTCCTGATGCTCGGACAGACAGCCAGCTGGCATGACCCAACTGATCTAGGTATATCATTCTTCAACATGCTTCGCAAGCAGCTCAACACTATATCCTCATCTTCACACAACCAAACCTTCAGCTTCAACAAGAACGACAGTAATAACTACCGGTTCTTCGAAGAAGCTCTCATCTACTGGGAAATGCTTCTATCATTCGTCGCAGATAACGACACAATGGTCCTACCACATAATCCCCACTCCACTCCATCAACGGGCGAGTCTCTCGTTCTCCAACGAGTCCCACACCCCTGGACTGGCATCGCGCGTGAAACTCAGTTCACCGTACACGAAGTCGGACAACTCGTCCGCCGAGAGCGAAAACGCATTCGATCAAGAAGATATACCTCTCTAGATGACATCACCAGAGCACAATTAGCACTTGAGAAAGCCCGCGAACTAGAAGAACGTCTCTTAGCCCTGGCCCACCCGTCCGAAGCCGAAATCGTCAGTCCCGGCGACGACGATACCCCGGTCTGGCACCTTCTCACAATGGCCGAGGTCTATAGATGTACCGGCCTGATGCAACTATATCGCGTCTTCCCAGACTTGCTGTACAACCGTCTTCCGCAGACATCATCATCTCCTACATTCCATTGCCCAGGAAGTACAGCTTCAACATCCAGAGATCCATTCTTCCCCATCGACCTGGATAGCATGAATCTCTCAGCCTTTGCAAATCAAAGTCCAGAGATAGCAGCACAAGGTCCCAATCCTCCAGACATCACTCCCTCGCCATCCTCCATTCCTCCCCATCAACCAACACCAACACCAACACCAGCACATACAACCACAACCACAAATCCAAATCCAAATACCGAACAACCGGACCGCGAAACCCTCTATAACACCTGGCTAACCGAATTCGCCGTAACAACCCTCTCACGCCTAAAAACCATTCCCCTAGAATCGGGAACGCGCTGCTTACAGCCCTTCCTGTTAGTCGCATCATGTTCAGAATTGCGACTTTCACATCTATTCCCACAAGCAGACGACCAAGTCGAGAATGACCATCCCACCGATGACGGAACCCATCAGCCGACAATATCAAGGGAAGCAATTGAAGTCTCGCGCACGAGACAATTCATTCTGGGTCGATTGAATAATTACATGCATCTACTCCCGCCGAAGCCCATTCGTGTCTGTCTGAAGCTTGTTACGGAGGTCTGGAGGCGTATGGATGCTGCTCGGGATGATGTCTTTTGGGTTGATGTGATGTTAGACAATCAGTGGGAGACTACAATGGGTTAAATGGGTGTATTGGATGGTTGGATGGCATAGGTTGGATGTACATAGGTGGATTTTGCTGAGCTATGGATACCCGGCTTTGTTCTTCGTCTGCGTGATTATATGTAAAGAGACATACGGGCATGCGGCCCTAGGCTCTTCAACCTAACCTCCAGAACGATGATAGCTTTTAGCGAACTATAGAAAACTGCTTGTGGTTGTTAGGCGCGATGCTTGATGGTTAGCAATGGGGTTTTAAAAAGCCACATCGTTGGCCAAAGGTCTAAAAGAAGTGGAGGTCGGCCATTTCGATAGAGTAGACTCTCTCAAGCGAAATGGTGCAAGAGCGACGTTAGGAGTATAGTTCTCTATCACGTGGTCTACTTTATATGGACAACCACATGTCTTGTCTTAATGCAAATTTCCAATTATCCTACAAGGAAGAGAATGGGTATTATAAGTTCAATTGATTGATTTGATACTCCGAATCCTAATCATCCAGTACGTAGACAAATCTTTCACGGGTGCGTCTATCAACTGGGATATCCTATCATGCAAAAAGAGAGACCTGAAAGCCCGAAAGTTAAAGGAAGTGAGTAGCGTTGAAAAGAGTCACGAGCAGAAGGAGAAGGAGAATGAGAATGAAATGGAGATGGAGATGAAGGTGAGGTCATGGACAAGGAGACATTCACAACAGAGTTCCAAGGGAGAAATCGGGAGATAATCAATGACAAAAAGGGTGAGTATAATGCATATGGTAGATAATGTGTACAGAGAATGGGACAAGAAGGAGTAGGGTAGGATAAGAGGCCCAAGACCAAAATGATCGAAGCCAGCAGAAGTTGAGCTGAATGGACGGAAGAAGATGCGGGCTCAGACAATTACGTGCTGAGGATATGCAAGTCTTGGCCAAGGCGACTTAGTGAGTAGTAGCCCGCTGCCAGTACTTCCATCCCTCACCAACTCCGACGAGACGTTTGATGCCCTCGACACCTACAGCTTCTTCGAACTTTTGCTGATCAATCTCCTCGCCGCCCTCTTCGTCTGTGCCGTTGCGTAAGACGGCTGGGTAGAGGACGCCCACGCCGTCGCCACCCAGAGTAACTTCGTACCTGTCGAAGCCCTCGTTGGCGAAGTTGTCTTCGAGCTGTTGTCTAACTTCGGCCTTGGCCTCGGGGCGGAGAAGTGTGATGGCACATCCACCTCCACCTGCACCGGTCAACTTCGTCCAGCCAATGTCGGCGTAATCGACGAGTTCGCGAATCCGCTCGAGACGGGGGTGGGAGACACCAAGAGAGACGAGGAAGCCGTGGTTAATGCGAATTAAGGTACCAAAGTGGGCGAGTGTCTCCTCAGAGATACCCTCGAAGTTGGGATCCTCGATCAAGCGTTGGGCCGAGCAAGTCACCTGATCGATGGCATCGAGGATAGACTCCGTCACTATAGGATGGGCCGATTTCAAGTTGCTGACCTTGTCGACTTCCGTCTTTGTGGAACGCGCTTGCCGGGTATCAACAAGGAGGAGGGGCAGCTCGGGGAATGTGGGCAGCGGCAGAACAGTCGGGGGCTTCGTGTAATCGAAGCGACGGAAAATCACGGCCTTGCCGCCTGCGGCCACCGTATTATCCACCCCGCTGGGGTTGCCATGAATGCAAAGCTCTCCAACAAAAGCCCAGCGGTTGATACGCTCAATCTGGGTCTCTGCTTCTTCAGGCGGTTGGTCTGGGTGGGGGCCGGCGAGGGTGCGGATCTGGAGAAGCAGCGCGGAACTGAGACACACGCAGACACTGGCACTGCTGCCTAGGCCAGCTCCAATTGGGATGGTGGATCGGAGGGTGTAGATGGCGCCTGGGCTTTGGGGGGAGCCTAGGGAGAGGAAGAGGTAGAGGAAGGCGGAGGCGGAGCGGATGTGGGTTTTGCGGTCTGGGTGACCCTTGGAGACCCCCTGGAGGTGTGGCTCGAGCGATTCGACGAGTTCGGGGTCGAGCTCCGTGACGAGACTGTAGTAGAACTTCTTTTTTGAGGGGTCGTGGAACTTGTCCCAGGGTAGGGTGTCAATGTCCCACGTATGGTTGAGACCTAGATCGCGGAAATTCAAGGTGATTGTGCGCTGCGATTTGGAGAGGGTGGTGACGAGTAGATAGGAACGAAGGGAAATGGCTGCTGCCATGGCAGCCTTGCCATGGACCACGGCGTGCTCACCAAACACAATGACCTTGCCCGGCGCGGACACCATGAATGTGGGCGCCATAGGCGATGAAGCCTTGCGAGACATGGTAGGCCGCTTTGGTTCCTCAATGCCATTCATTTGCGATTCTGTAGAGGCAGTATCGGAGCTGTCATCCACTCCGTTCTCGCCCTTGGGATGAACAGAGACACCGTTCACTGGGTTGTCGGGAAGAAAGTGGGCGACTGTGCGACGTTGAGGGAGAGCTGAGGCTTTCATGCCGTTCAAGCGACGAATTGGGCTTTCGGTCATGGCAGGCTGGAATGTGAGGGGGGACAAGGAGGCGGAAATGCGATGCGGCGATGCGGAGCGGCGAGGCAATTAGGAATTAAAGGGGCAAATAGTCATAGAACGCGAAAAGCCCTCAACATAGCCAAAAGTGAAGTAGAAAAACAAGCAACTGGAGACCCTTTGAGTGATCTGGAGTAAAGATGGGGGAGTGCTCGATGCTACTGAGTATACGAGGGAACGCGACGCATCCAATCACAACTGCTGCAATCGCAATTGGTCAGACGTTTAATTAGTCTATAGATCGCTTAGCTTAGGTCTGCAACTATTTCAACCATTTCTCGCGTCTCTATTGGATGGTTTTTAGTCCGCTAATTGTGTTATATAGTGAAGGCTCCTCTTTTTTTATTCTAGAAGCTCAGAGTGCAGAGATTTTGTGGCGTGCAGTAGCGCCGGAATGATCGTCTCTATGTGTCTCTTAATATTGCACACAACGGTAATATCGAACCAGGCCCATATGGTATAAAAATTAATAATGTGTATTTTTCATCGGTGAAAGCAATGTAAGGGGTAACAGTCGATATTACACCATAAACAAAAGTCACCAAAATCTAGCGGGTACGAGTTATGTAGGACTTCTAATTTGCAAGGGTCGTCAATTCGTCACAGGTTCATCGTCACGGTCATGCTGTTGCTGTGGACCAGGAGACAGGGGGGCAAGTCTTGCCACAGCACCTCCAGGTCACTCAAGTAGGACGCACTGTCCTCTTCGCTAAGCGAGGTGCCTTCCACGGGAGACGGCAGGGTCGTGAAAATAACAGCCGTGTCACCGCTATGCTGGAGCATCAACTCATTTAGAATCAAATGTTGTGCTCGGCTGGGTAGATCGTTAAAGGATAATGGAACCGAGGCCATGCTGGGGTATCCAGATGCATTGTTGTGGCGGATGTTGGGTGGGGTAACAGATGGTCGCCGGGCATAGATGGAGTCCAGTTTATTGAATCTTGGAGGGGAATTTTGAGCGGCGAACATAATGGAGGGGCCATTCTCCTCTTCGGCTTCAATGTTAACCTTTGCCTCCGGGATGGGAGAGGAGCTGAACCGATTGCTAGATGCAGAGCGGCTCATGGGAGGTCGTCGAACGGGGGTTTTACTCTTGGGGGAGGCATCATCCCCCGGTTCGATGATGGATGGGATCTGTTGGCTGGCCGATGTTTCTTCGACGCGAGAGCTAGGAGTCTGTGTGTTGGGAGAAACTGGACCAGGACTATAGTCATCAGTCTTGGACCGGCGAAGCAGTCGCGAGGAGCCAGATCCGCCCTGAGGAGTGGCTGTATCCCGATCATCAACCTCGGGTTCGCTGGTGTAACCTTCCATGTCACTGTCCTCGCTCGAGCTCGAGCCGTCAGAACTATCGTAGTCGACGAACGAATCCAACAATCGATGTGTTTGCATGCCAAGGTTCACTCCTCCTAGAGCTCGGAAGCTAGATATAGACCGTCTGCGGCGAGTGGACTGGATCAATCGTCTCAGGCCAGTCGCTCGCTGGCGCAAATTCTTGGCTCCACTGTCTTGGCTCGATGGACCTTGCCAGCTGTAGGCCTTGTCCAGATGCAGGCTGTCACTTGCTGTGTCCGAATCCTGACCCCGGTCTTGAGCGCGAGCTCGTAAGACTCCTTGCCACCATTCCTCCTCTTGCAAAGTGGACCGGACCTTTTCTTGAGAGTCGGCTGTGACTGATGAAGTATCGCCGTTCACAATAATCCGATAAGCCTTGAGGTCACCGCAGGCAAGCCAGAAGACCAAGACTTCAGCTTCGATCCGTAGTTTGTCAAGAAGAGCCTCAACTCGTCCTCTTTCATCCTCGACGTCCGTTTCATACTCCACGAACACTGCGACTCGAATTTTGTATGTCTTTTTCCATGAGGGAACAGTATTCAAAATACAGCCCAGTTGGAGAATTAGAGTGTATGTGTCGAAATTAGTGGTGAGCACATTTTGTTTGCTTTCGTTATCAGCCCCGAGCTCGGCTGACATTTGGATCGGCCACAGGTCAATGTACTTCTTTGTGTGACGACCGTGGGGGTCAGGAATCTCAAGATCCTCGAATCCTTTTGCTACAGCAACATTGATCCTAAGCTTGAACAGGAGATCTTCAAGGATTGTGACGTAACTTTGGCCGCTCATGGGTGGATTGCTTGGTCGATTCTCAGTCTCATCCGTTCGAAGGCCATGAGCTGAGTTACGTCTAGTCTTGGAGTCTCTTCTGCCAGTGTTTGAGAATGTTTCAACGAGAGATTGATCTTGTCGGAATTGGTCGATCACGACAATGTTTGGGCGCATGCCTCCCAGTCCAGAGTTCAAAACGATATTTCGCATTCCCCATTCTGCTGCAGGCGAAACAGAAATATTCACAAAGGCTTTGATTTTGGAATACTCGACAAACTTTGTCCATGCCGTCTGTTGGCGGCGCGCTTCAGGGACGGCCGCCGAAAAGTCATCGGTCACAAGGACGTGAGCTAGCACAAATAGGGCTCCTTTCTTTAGTGAGTTGCAGAAAGAGACCATCTTGTACTGCCTGTCAAGATCGCTGACAAAGAGCAGGATTTGAGGACGCCAGAACTTGACATGCTCCTGGCGAAGACGAAGTAAATATTTGCGCACTTGGTGATAGATCAGGCTCTGGCTGACATCGCCCCAGGGCTTTGGTGGCGAGCTGTAGTGGATCAGCAGGAAGAGCACGACCAAAATACTAACACATCCCGAGGCATAGAGTCCATCCACGAAAAACATGCTGACTCCACTGACCAACGTTCCAGCCGCTGCGGTCTGCCAATTGAAGTAATGGAATGAGGGACGGAAATTGGGCGCTGAGCCAATTTTCAACAAAAAGCAAGCAAGATTCATCACGAGGAATGTCATCAAATACGTCATCGTAATAAAAGACGCGATGCGGTTAATGTCGAAGAGCATTGTGACTTGAGCGAACACAAAAGTCACGATGATTGCATAGACTGGCTCGTCATTTTTGCGAGTTCCCTGGCCAAATATGCCAATTCCAGGTAAGAGGCTATCTCTTGCGATAGCCTGAAGGAGTTTCGCAGATCCGATAACGCCCATCAAGGCGGAGAAGAAACTGGTTGCGAATTCTCCAAGAAGGATGACCACGTCGGAGGAATTGACCTAGATCCAATCAGATCATGCAACCTTTCTTTTTGCGAATTGTGACTTACAATTTGAATTACATTGACGTTGTTATAGAATGACTCTCGAGTAACAGACGCTGCCATTGCAAGAATGACAAGCCCATAGGTGACAAAGGTCAACGCTAGTCCGGAAAGTGTACCCTTGGGGATAGCTTTGCTTGGGTTCTTCAAGTCACCAGACATGCTTGCACCACTACTACAGATTAGTAAACTATGCTTGGCGATGTGCACTCTCTCACTTACGCGAAAATACCTCCTGTGGCAGGGAAGAGAATACCAAAGAGATCTTGGAAATTCTCACGTCCTTTCAGCTGACTTCCCGCAGCCCCTTTGGTGAGGTGAGGCTTAAGGTTCCCCATCAAAGTCTTCAAGCGAAGTCCCGTGAACTCAACGCCCTGATGAGGAAGAGAGAAAGGCTTCACGAATAGTGCAGAAAGTGGAATGCTGAAGGTGGCCACAAGTAGTATGATAAGAAGCCCATTACTTGCCCTGGCAAAAATGGAGCTTCCCGCCAAGCAGATACCTGTGCAAAAGACCAGGATAACAGTACCCCAGAGGTACTGCCACCAGAATCCTTCCTCGAGGAAGTTGGCCCAATCACCGGACTCTGTGCCAAAGTTCTGGGTAAAACAGTCCACTAGACCAACGGCGTTCATTCCAGTGTTGAAGACGTAGCCCAGATAGAATACAATGCCGATTGAGCCACCGAACTCAGGTCCCAGGGATCGAGAGATCAAGTAGTATGCACCACCTCCTCGGACTGTTCCATTTGTCGCAATTGCAGACAGAGACATTGTTGTCACAAGGTTGATTGTGTAAGAGACAAGTAGCAGGCCTTCAATGGATTAGCAGAGGCCAGACCCTCTACGGAAGTCTACTCACCTAAGATACCCAGTACACCAGCTTGCCCTAGAATGAACCCGAATCGAAGGAACATAAGAATGCTCAGCACATTCAGAGTCGTCGGAACAAATACACCGGAGAAGGTCCCAAGCTTCTTGGGTTCATCCACCGCTCGAGACCGATGCCCCTTGTCCTTCTTATCAACGCTGGAATCGCGAAGAGGGCCTGTAGACAACACATGTGGTGAAACATTCTCTCCATTATTTGAATTATGATCATGTTCTCCCCTATTATGCCACCATTGAGAAATCCCTCTGAAATAGTCGGTGGGTGATGAATGGCGTTGGTCCTCCGCGGGTTCTGACGAGTTCACTGGCTCATATGGACGGGCCCATCTGGTCGGTGGCCATGGTAATAGTCGAGTGCGTTCATCTGAGAGAGCCTGGGTTGAATCGCCTGGGGCGAGACGTGAGACATCTTCTTCGGCAGTTCGAGTCGAGAAGTTGGGTCTTCGTCGAGACAAGGAGTCGGAGGAATATCCGCCTCGTTCAGGCGTCATAGCAAATGCAAAGGCTATATGAACATAGGGGCGATACCAGGATGTACAAAAAGAGACAAGGAAAGAAGTAGAGGAACTAGACATGGAAGTCAACCACCTGCGTCACCTAGCATGACGTTCAGGCAAACAGTGCAAACGCCGTTCAACCTCTCCGTGGCTCGCCGCTTAGCACTCTTCAAGTTACATCTCGACTGTTTCACCTCCTATTTGGTACACTGTCGGCCCACGATCGTTCATGCCCACTCTTCGACTTTAAAGACTCCTTGGTGCTCACCGTGAGACCACATTCAAAATGGCAGACAACGGAGAGGGCTCGTCCCTAACTCCAGCTCAGTCTGTGCCAATAGCCTCCTCGGTACGCTCGAGGTCCCCCGCGCCTGAGCTCGGTACTAGACAGGCTTCTATTGCACGACTTGCATCCCCGGTGCCCTCCCCATCATTTGGAACTTCCTTGTCCTCCCGACAGGGAATCCCAGCCAGTCGGCCTATCACAACCAACACCGAGCAGGACTTCTCGAAATCATTCGCTCATGCAGCCTCACTTCCTGGTCCCGGTCAATCCATAATTGCGTCACAACTTCAAGAGAGCCTAGGTCGCTCGCCGCCGAGGTTTGGGACTCCAGTGCGGAACACTGGGTCTCCTGCGTTGCATCTAGATCCCCGACCGATCGCCTCACAGTATGGATCTTTCGATACGAAGAATGAACGCCAGTCCCCTGGCCCTGGAATGGCTCCGTATGAAGATCCTGAAGTTATCAAAAGACATCTGGTGACGGACCAGGGAGATGGGCAGTCGGATATTGCGACCAGCATGGGAGACGAGCAGTTCTCGAGTTTACAGCTACAGGGTGGTGATATCACACGACAGGTCTACCGATGGGCGGAGGACGCTGAGGCTGAAGCCGCAGGTCGATTCATGCGCAGCAAGAGTTTCAGCGTCAGCCGACCAAGACCAGAACATGAGACTGAGGATATCGACACAATTCGGGTTCCTGGAGGGTTCCGCAGAGATTATCTCCGGAGAGCAGCTGGAAGTCCACACCGTGGAAGTGCCCAGGGATCTACTTCAGGGGCACCCCATGCTCATGGCCCTCCCCAGCTGCCTACCACGAGCTTCTTGGAATTCTTGACTCTGTATGGTCACTTTGCTGGAGAGGAGCTGGAGGAAGATGACGAGGTCCTTGGGCCTGATGAGTACTTTTCGTCCGATGCTTGGGACGAGCCAGAGGAGGGTAGAGAGTCTGGAGAAGATGCAGCGCTATTGCAGCCAGATACACCAGGCCGGAAGAAGAGAAAGCACAAGCAGCGTTCGCCGGCCGGCAATACTACGACAACAGGTGCTGTGATGTTGCTGCTCAAGTCTTTTGTGGGTACCGGTATCTTGTTCCTCCCCCGAGCCTTCTTGAATGGTGGCATGCTCTTTAGTAGCATGGTTCTGCTGGGTGTGTCGATTTTGAGCTATTACGCCTTCATTCTTCTCGTCAACACTCGCATGAAGATCGATGGTTCCTTCGGTGACATTGGTGGCATTCTATACGGCAAGCACATGCGGCGCATCATTCTCGGATCAATTGTCCTCAGTCAGTTGGGCTTTGTGTCAGCGTACATTGTCTTCGTCTCGCAGAACTTGCAGGCATTTGTGCTGGCTGTGAGCAAGTGCGTAACCTTCATCGACATCAAGTACATGGTGCTTTTGCAGCTTGTCATCTTCCTGCCTCTGTCTCTGATTCGGGACATCAGCAAGCTCGGGTTCACCGCGCTCATCGCTGATGTCTTTATTCTTTTGGGACTGCTATATATCTACTACTACGATGTTACCACGTTGGTCAACCAAGGCGGCATCTCTGATGTCATTTCCTTCAACCCGACTACCTGGTCCATGTTCATTGGTACCGCCATCTTCACATACGAAGGCATTGGTCTCATCATCCCCATCCAAGAGTCGATGAAGCAACCCCACCGCTTCCCTGGTGTTCTGGCTGGTGTCATGGTTGTCATCACGTTCATCTTCCTGTCTGCTGGTGCCCTGAGTTACGCAGCATATGGATCCACCACCAAGACTGTTATCCTTCTCAACCTTCCTCAGGATGACAAGTTCGTCAACGTGGTCCAGTTCCTCTACTCTCTTGCCATTCTACTGAGCACTCCGCTGCAGCTCTTCCCCGCTATCCGTATCATGGAAAACGAGCTGTTCACCCGCAGTGGCAAGTACAACCCATACATCAAATGGAAGAAGAACGGCTTCCGTTTCTTCCTGGTTATGATCTGTGCTATTGTCGCCTGGGGCGGTGCCGATGATCTTGACAAGTTTGTTTCACTGGTCGGAAGCTTCGCTTGTGTTCCATTGATCTATGTTTACCCGGTACGTTCTTCTATATGCGCAGCGCTCAATGATATACTAACCGTATCTTAGCCCCTTCTGCACTTGCGCGCTTGTGCTCGCTCCAAACGTCAGGCCATTGCCGACGTCACTCTCGCGGCCTTCGGTGCTATCTGCTGCGTCTACACGACCTCCTTGACTATCGGGAACTGGCTCGGCCCTGAGGTCCCTCAGAGCCCAGGATACTGTGACTCTCATTAAGATCTTCATTATTTCTTTGATTGTTGTAGAGCGTGGCGAATTGGCCCTAGGTTTTGTTGCATTTCTTTTGGTTTCGTTCTAACTCTAGATCGTTGCATATTATGTGTTCTTCCTGCTGCTTCAACACTTGAACGGATCTGTGTGTTCACAGTCTTGGGCAAAACTATCACTATATTAGACGATTTTGGGTCGAGTGATCCTTCTGTACACATAGCATTCAGGTTTTTGGATTAGCATCTACCGATTATGTATTTGGTCTCTCTTTCTCCAAAACGTGGGCATCATGAGCTAGACCCACCAGATACAACAGGGGCATAAGTGTGTATACAGTGCCACTGATGAAGTATTGGACAGTCTCTACACAGAAGCCTCGAAGCGAGTATGCCGTTTTATGCATTGTTTTCGTCCTACTTTGGCCTCTCCTGATTGACCTCTTTTTTACCCGTTTTCGAATGCCTCGAATTGTAGTTATTTACATACAAGTGAGGGAGTGTAAGGGCTATGGCCTATGACTTACGCTTTAAATGGGAAACTAGGTCAAGACAATTCAAGACAGAATGTGATTCAAGCGCAACAAAGAGCCTATGTACAATGGCTATCGAAACACCACAGCCGCAAAGCATATAGCGTCGATAGATAAGAATCTTCCTCAAAACCGTATGTCCTCTTTATATGCCTCCTCTAATAGCATTGCCTGAACCCCATATTTCCAGCTCAGACAAGACCACCGGACCACATGCGGACATGAACGAGAAATGATGCCTATAAGAGCCCTAACCAGAACTAAAAGTACACCCAATATGATCTTATCGGGACTACTTAAGCACCTGCCTCGGGGGCGGCGGCACCCTTAGCGGCCGCCTTGTCAGCGATCTGCTTTTCCCGGCCGCCGAATCTGTGAAGAGAAGACTATGTTAGTATTTGTATTTCCGGGAATCATAGACCAAACAAAGTCGAACAGCCTTATCTCGGGAGGTAACGTACTTCCAGTAGTTGAGATAACGGTATGCCTGGGTAGACTGAGCGCCGAAGTTGGTCAGGTGGCAAGCGAAGAGGAGGTAGTTGGGGGGTGTGACAGCGAGTGAGTAACGCATGAAGGTAGCGGCGTAGATGACAAGAGCACCGGTCATAGGGCCAGAGATACTGTGAACGAAGCTATCAGTACAATCGCCCTGGAACAGCCATATAACGCAATAAACTAGACATAAAACTCTCCGGTATCATGGGATCAAAACATACATCTCAGCATCCTTCTGCGTATCCATCACAGCGGCAATGGGGATACCAAAGTTGGAGACGGGGCCCCAGAAGTCTAAGAAGCGCCATTGACGGTCAGCAATCTGTGCACAGTCTCGGCGAGCGGTTCGGTCTAAAGCGCGCCAGTCCGAAAAAGTATCGTCTCTTCGACCCTTGACGTCGCTTCCAATGCTTATGATCTCGTGCGGTCTCGTTGGCCGATCTCGGTGCGGGAAGAGCTTCGGGGAACTTGGCATCGATACGTACGGGTTGAGCAGACATAGTCCAGCACCGAGTTGGAGCGGATCTTGGCGTTAATTGCCTTGATAGCAGCAGCCATGGTGAAGTTGCTGGTAAGGTTCTCACGGGATTGCGGTCGGGGAGGTGAGGTCGGTATCTGGAGGATACGGAATTGCTCGAGTCACCCGGCGTCGGCCGCATCACGTGAGCTGGTACGACAACAGGTGGGATTAATAGTTGCGTCGACTTTACTTTTAAAAGGCAATTGAATGAAGTGGTATCTATTTTCCTCGATCAATATGTCTGGTACTGGTATGTCAATGGTATTTGGGACTGTACTCTTCGTGTGCGCACGCAACATTACCAAGCTCATCACCGGAAATATATACATCTGCAGTTTTACTCTATAAAGAATTGAAACCATACGAAAATTAAAGTGAAAAATTTTGGAAAAGAGAAGCCGTGTTAAAGTAAGCTAGCATTATTTTTTGACCTAATGCAAATTTCAAGAGGATTTTGGTCTTTTTGTCCCCGGCCCTCGACACGACCTCCATCCCTGCGCCACAACGCCTTGCCCAATAAAATGTGGGTTGATCTAGCCGGTACGCGTATCATTGTCTCCCAGTGGAAGCGTCGGCAGTGGTTTCTTTTCAGCGCTGAGTGGTGCTTGCTTTTTGCCAGTTGAAATCAGATCGCCGATGATATGAAACGTAGGATATTTCTCTGTACACAAGTCCGATTACCTGCCACCAAATCCAGGAGGAGGGTAGCCGCGTCCCTGTCCGGGAGGCTGGAAGCCAGGGGGAGGTTGGAAACCGGCAGCTATAAGTCCAATGTTAGTACTGCACATGGGATAGAGGGCTGCTTGGGCAGAAACTTACGGGGACCGCCTTGGGGAGCAAATCCAGGAGGAGGCGCAAAGCCGGCTAGGAATTAACAAGTCAGCATGGCTTTGTATCAATCTGGAAACTGGAAAAACTTACGTGGACCACCAGGAGGACCTCCACGTCCAGGAGCAAAGCCTGGAGGCGGGGCACCGGGGAAGCCAGCAGGAGGGAACCCAAAGCCACCGGGAGGAGGAGGACCACCAACACCGGCTGCAGGGCCACCGAGTCCAACAGGCAGACCGCGGCCAGCTGGCTTGCTGATACCAGGGCCTGCGGCGAGTGTAGCAGCGGCGCCGGGTCCAGCGGTGCCGAGGCGGGCAGACGGGTCGGCGGGGGGAGGACCATCAACGGAGCATGAGACGACTTGAGTACCGCGCACGATAGTCAGACCAAGAGTTCGCTTCTCTTCCGCTTCGATCTGCGGGGCGCTTCCGGGGGCGGCAGCGGGCTTCGACTTCTTCTTGGTGCGACGGAACTCTTCTGTGTCGGCGAGAACAAGGTTCATGTGCTATGAAAGGTAAAATTAGATGAGATATGTGAATCCTGGGGCAAGGTCATGTACCTTATCAAATGCAAGCATTTGACCAGTCATCTGGCGACCGTCATTGAGGGTCACCCTCATCCGGTAGTTGATCTAGATAGAAGGTCAGACATCCTGACGTTGAAGACACTATCGCCTAAGTGAACTCACGAGGTTTTGCTAGAAGGAAGACGTTAGCGACAGCCATCGACACGGGTTGAGATGCAGATAGGGACGTGAAACTTACCATCTTGTTGGCGGCCATGGTGACTAGGTAGTGCGCACGTGTGCGACTTGGAAGACCAAAAAGTAGAAAACAGTAGATAGAGCGAGACTCTCTACTGTGGGGAATTGAGCAACGGCGCGAGTTCCTTCGTTGTGAAGCTTAAGCTCTGTCGGGTGGCAGTTCTTGATATCGAGTTAGTCAGCATTGAGTCAGTTTCTGCCTGAGGCAAAAAGGATCATAGCCCCACATGTCCCGATTAGGCGGACTCAGGGCTCTCTAATCACGTGCCAGAATCGAACCCACACAAACCACTTTCACTTTTCTCGTGATCGATCTATTCCTTTAGTCGACAACTACTTCACGCCCATCAACCGCCATCATGGTAAGTCCATTTTGCACACAATCACACACAATCACATCCTACAAATCACCACGAAATCCTTATCCTTTTCAAAATCCGCCAAATCCGCCAAAAATCGAAATAAAATTCATTCTAACGAAATGCAGTCGTCCGAGGCCAAGGCATCCAACCCCATGAAGGAGCTTCGCTTGTCGAAGCTCGTTCTCAACATCTGTGTCGGAGAGTCTGGTGATCGTCTCACCCGTGCCGCCAAGGTGCTTGAGCAGCTGTCCGGTCAGACCCCCGTCTACTCCAAGGCCCGTTACACCGTCCGTACCTTCGGTATCCGTCGTAACGAAAAGATCTCCGTTCACGTTACCGTCCGTGGCGCCAAGGCCGAGGAGATCCTCGAGCGTGGCCTCAAGGTCAAGGAGTACGAGCTCCGCAAGCGCAACTTCTCTGAGACCGGTAACTTCGGATTCGGTATCTCCGAGCACATCGATCTCGGTATCAAGTACGACCCCGGCATTGGTATCTACGGAATGGACTTCTTCGTCTGCATGTGAGTTTGCCCGAACGACAGCCCTCATGGGTGCTCTTTATAAGAACATTAACTGACAATTTTTATAGGGGCCGCCCCGGTGCCCGTGTTGCCAAGCGTCGTCGCTGCCAGGCTAAGATCGGTGTCAACCACCGCATCAACGAGCAGGAGACCATCAAATGGGTTAGTCCTCCCGCAAATTTTTTGAGACCCATCTCTTTGCTAACCACAAAAACAGTTCAAGAACCGCTTCGACGGCATTGTCCGGTAAAGGATTTAACGACGATGATGGGCGGAAACGGTTGATATGCGTTGTATAAAGCACTCAACCACAAACGAAAAGGCTCACTCGCCATTGAGAAAACCAAAAATCGCCTCGGAACAACTCGGCGAGGCTCGATAGGCTTCTTGTTCTCTGCACAGGCATGGTCTTGATTTCCTATCACGGCAACTAGGATAGGCGTGTTAGGGGCATGAATGAATTATTCACATTTTACTGCTGCTTTTCCCTTTTCACAATGAGGCTTCACAAGAGGTGATGTTTACCGCATAACCATTGTTGAAAAGGTTGGCAGGCACTGGATTTCGATCTAGTGCCTGACCATGACTCGGTTGGCATTGCCTAGTCGGCTTTACCAAAGAGTTGGTCTCTTCCCTCGAGGTTCCTCGTTGTTGATTGAGTACCTGGCCTATCTTTCTGTCCCTATCCGCTTAGGCTCTGTATGTCCGCGTAGATGTAAACTTTCGTAACCCGTAGAGCGGAGGTTGCTTTCCAATTACCGTGCGGCTTGATCTGTGAAGTTTAAGGATGGGATAAACCCCCCATGGCTAGGACACGACCTGTACCCGTCGGGCTTTTTACCCCAATGGAGTAAAAGTGCCCATGGAGACTAATGCTGATGTGGTCTGATCCATAGCTGGGCTAGACAGGTCGATTGAAGACGGAGTGGGACCGTTCTATATTTGCTTCATCAAAGCCTTTAAGGTCTAAATGAGTTCGAGCAACGCAAATCCCACAATGCATGCGCTAAAAAGTGAGCGGCCAAGGAATGAACAACTTAGAGCTCCTAAACAAATAAATAGGATTTCCATCTGAGTATGGCCATTGCCATGTTTTAGGGACTATGCAGGCTATCAGTCAAATTGAAATGTTGAAAATCGTTGCACAAGACTTAACATTTATTGTACCGCTGGCTACGATCGGTAATAGTTTTATTAAGCTCGTCATCATTCAGAAAGCCTGCAGCATCAATCGTGCGCGTGTCCGACGTCCATCTCGAGATCCGAATATATTCAGCCTTGCCAGACTTGCAGTATCATCACCCCCGAGATCAGCTACCAATGGTATGATATTCATTTATCTGCATTAAAAGCGATGTGTAATTGGAACTGCATAATCGAAAATGACCGGATTGACCGACAATCGCAACAAAGTTGCAATTATGGAATATATATACCACACTCGACCCTGCTTGATATACACCAAACCTTCAACATACCCCAAAACTTGACAAGTTACTTATACGAATCTGCCCTAAACACCAAGAATCTATGTCATCTAAAGTCTGGCTTATCACTGGAAGCTCATCTAGCCTCGGAAGCGAGTTCGTCAAAGCAGCCTTAGATCCGGGCGGCAAAAGGATCGCGACAGTCCCGCAAGTAGACACAATCGCTATCTACGAGACACGAGACACGGGAGCGAGTACCATGCTGATAGATGTCACTGCCACGCAACGGGAGCTGAATGATATTGCCAACAAGGCAGTTTCTGTGTACGGGCAGATTGAGGTACTGGTGAGCAACGCCGGATATACGCAATTCGGGACCGTTGAAGAAACCAGGTAGGTATGTGCTTCCCTTTCCCGCGATACACAAGAAAACTAACACCCCGGCTCTGTTAGTCACGTTGACTGGTTTAGAAAGTTCAATACCAATGACTTTGGAGCTTTGAATACGACTAGTTCCTTCCTCCCTCATTTGCGCAGTAACAAATCTGGAACCATTGTCTTCATTGGGTCTATGGTCGCGTGGGATGGTGTACCTACTGTTGGAGCATACTGTGCTTCGGAGGCGCTGCTATACACTGTACGTTCCAAAAACCGCTCTTCTCGTGCACACCTAAAAAACGTTAATGGAACCTCTAGATGCCGTGGAGTCGTTGTCCAAAGAGATCGCCCCCGTCGGCATCAAGTCTCTCCTCTTTGAACCTGGGACATTCCGAACTGATCTTTTGAGCCAGCAGAATAGCAAGTCAGCCGCTACCAAATTTGGAATATTATAAAGCTTTGACCGAACCATCGACTAGCTAGTTACAATAGTTTGAACGGGGACTAGGCTGGCGATCCTAGGAGGGTGTTGAGTGTGTGAATGATGTCGTGGAAGGGGAGAAAGACATTGCTGGAAAGGAGTAGCCGTGTCAGTTGTCGCTTGGGTCGGATGCTGTTGCTGCTAACCGGAAGAAGTGTGAGGATACTTTGCTGCAGTTGGAGGCGTGGGAAGAAATATCTAGTGAGATGGATATCTAGTATCCAGTGACTTGGCACTGAGCTTCTGTTGTCCTCATTTACTAGTTGGTCGGTTGGGCGTGGATCAATATACTTGAGCAAGGCAGAATGACGAAAAATCAACAATTGAAGCTCAGTATATTTGGTATAAGATAGAGATATCTAAATCAATAACCTAAGGAGTGAAACGACCAACGCTGGGAATATCCGTATTTAAATAACCACAATCACCGACACCCCCCCTAAGCAATTCATTTCTTCTGATCAGCCATCTCAACCATTTCCTCCCGGGATTTATGATCCTCCTGATCACCAGCCTCCAGATCCGTAACCTTAGCATTCGCAGTATCATCAACAGCAGCCGTAACAGTTTCAAAGCGACGACCACGTTTCTCAGGCCCAACAGAAGTAGTCAGCGCAATGCCAAGGGCAATAATAGCAGTAGCAATACCCATAACAGGCCCGTAAGCCGGAACCCGATGACCGGACGGACTAGTAACCCAAGTAGACTCAGAGATGGCGTTCACAATCTGCGCCGATGGCGAGGAAATCATGTTTCCAATTTGGTATGTCAAGCCGGGGAATGAGGACCGGAAGGCGGGAGGGGAAAGCTCGTTCAGATGGATTGGGATTACACCCCAGGCTCCCTGGACGAAGAATTGCATGAAGAAACCTGTCGCGCTTAGGCTTCGTTCGCCTTCGGGGAGGATCCATGCTGGGATGAGGACGCCGGATACGAGTGCTGCGGCGATGATTGCGCGCCGGCGACCGAAGAACTGGGATAGGTAGCCAATTATGGTTCCGCCTACGCAGGCACCCGTTTTCATTAGGATGGAGGCTCGAGAGGCGGCTGAGTTGTCGAGTTCTTTGGAGGTGCGCATGAATGTTGTGTAGGAGTCTTGTGATGTGTGAGAATAGAAGTTGAACTATACAGGGACTGGTTAGATGTTGTTCATCAGGATAGAGTGGTAGAAGATACATACCCAGGTCATGAGAATGATACAGTAGATGCACATGCGCCATTCTTTGACCAACATGGATCTTGTTTCCTTCCAGAATTCACCCGCGGACATTGTTCGCTTGCCGGCCTTTTTGGCTTCGAGGAATTGCTTTGACTCGGGGAAGCAAATGCGGAGGAGACCAATTCCAATTGAGAGACCGGCTGGAAAAGAGTCAATGGTGTTCAACACTCTTGTATGAAGGTGACTTACCTGCAATCCAGAATACGATCTTCCAGCTTTCAGTTGAACCACCGACACCAAGGTTGGCACAAGCTGCGAACACGTAGCCCAATGAATAGCCTTGTTGGAGGATACCAGACATGAGTCCTCTTGCGTTGACACTAATTTGCAAAAATGTCAATTGTGATCCCCAAGCCCTAATCGAGAGTACCTACGGGCAATGCTCCAACGCCATAGCAATGGCATTTCCATAAACACCACCCATGAAAAGACCAAAAAGACTTCTAACAGCTAAGAACTGTTGGAATGTATGGCTATAGATAGTAGCAATCTGCAAGATTCCCAAAACGACCATGTTGACCACCATGGGCCATTTACGACCATACCTATCACCGGCCAATCCAAAGAAGGCAGCACCCACACTTCTCAAAAGGAGGGTCAAGGTAATGGCAGTTGTTATATCTGTCCTAGATTTGCCATAATAATCAGACAGCTTGACGGTCTGGATGGAGAGAGCATGGAAATCGAACGCATCGGCCGTCCAAGCAGAAAGTCCCACAAGAAAGAACAACCAGTCTCGTGCCGACAACTGCATCATCAAACCGATGGGGTTCTGGATTGGCTCCGGAGATTGCCATTCCGTGTGGGACTCGCCGTATTCATTTGTTACCTCGACACGCTGCTTCCAGATAAAGAGATCTTTGAAGGACTGGCGCGCAGTTGCGAACATGCCGCTCGGAATGGGATCTGCCAATTCATTGGAAGATGCCATTGTGGCGATAGAAAGATGGAAAAGAGTCTGATTGGCAAAAGTGTCTCAGTAGAGTATTCCAGAGAATTCAATAGTAAACCTGTAATTCTTCCGGGATCACTGTGGCATATTCCTTCCAAATCCTACGTCTAATCTCCCCGTTTTATATGAGACCATCACGATTCACCCCCGCATTCCTGTCCCGCATTATCTTCGTGCAGGTCAATAAATGCCGCTGCACCCCAGGCACACCCCAGATTGTTCCGAGGGACCACGCGGGGCATTGCCACTCCGCTGACCGGCCAAGGATATGCCAAGCACCTGCGACATCCGTGCCCTCCAATGCGAGGCTGCCATACGAGAAATATGCCGCACTACACGCTTTAAGGCTGGCTTGGCGTGGGGATGTTCTTGCCTAGGGAGGGATCCTTCTGGGCTTGGCTGATCCGAAAAAGACAAGCTCCAACAAGGCGGATGGCGCTGTGAGCGTGACCATTGCTTCGTTGCGCCGAAAAACTTTGAGTCAAAGAAGGGCCGATATGCACTTCAGTGGCTCCGGTTCGGGCTGAAGGTGGGATTTGAGGCTTGGAGCCCGGGTATACTTCCTTCGGTGCTCTAGCGGGCTGTTGGCAGTCGGCTAGATCGGACCATTTTTGTTGGGCAAGTGGGGGTTGATAACAGTAAATGGCAACTCCAGTGGCGTGTAGTATCTATTCGATTGTATGGTGGTGGTGGTGACGTGTGGTGACTGGAGGTGAGTACAGTACATGTATAGTGCTCACCCGATGACGTTCGGGGCCTCGGAGTTGAGGCTGGATGACAGGCCATTGGTCCACCACTGTGGATCTGGGTTAAGGGGTCTTCTCAGGCCATGCAGCTATAGGTTTGTACATACATACATTATATATGTATGTATGTATATATACACTATACAAGGTGTTACATCTCAATGCAAGTGAGCTTGTTTAGTTCCAGGAATCTGTTGTTTGGTGATATTCCAATTCATCTCCGGCTATAATCAACAGTTGAATAGCTTCATTTCGATCACTGCCCAGTATAGAGCGTAGCATGTCACAATTCAACAAAGCTGGTGGTCAAACCAAAGAACATCAAAATATGAAATGAAGTGGATGCTGAGATAGCCACCTACGTGTAAACACCTCGTGGGCTTTAACGGGTGAGAGCGGTCAGCTATACATCGCCCAAACACAGCCTAACTACTCAGTACGACCAGCACATTTCTCACATTTGACACACATTACAAGCTTAGAATACTTCTTGCCCTCTTCTCACTCTTCGTTCTTCTCTCTCATTTCTCTCATTTCTCTCCACTGGAACAAAACGATCACCAAGCCCCTGCATCACGTGACGGCCCATAAGCGACACCTCAGCAACGACGGCGGCCTCCTGAGGTCACTTCCGCTGCCATCGCAATCAACCCCCTCCTCCCTCTCTTCCTTACATCTCCTTCTTCCTTTCCTTTTCCTTCTCTACGCTTTCACTTCCCGTCACTTTTCTTCATCATCTTTCAATTCCTCTGCTCTCTTCGCGTGGCGTTTAGTCGGGTACTGGTCGTGCAGCGGCCAACGTAAATATGGCGCCTCTCCCTATCAAGTTCACAGAACTGGTCAATGTACGTGATTACCCCTCATCCAGACCGCATAGCGCTTGAAGCCATCAAACTAACCGAACCCTTCTTTCACAGTTGACCGCAGTCGGCATCGCGGTATGTACACGACGATCCCGGTGATGCAACGCGACGAGCTCCCGTTGCTCGACGGATGCCTCGGCCGCGCATTACAACGTCCCCGGAGGCCCTGAACAGCTTACTGACTTTGTTCGTCACAGCCGGAATCCATTGGCTTCACGTCATGCGTAAGTTGCCCACTGTTTACCCAAAACAATGCGGGTCCGATCTGGCTAACCTGATTGCTCCTCATAGACACTAGAATCCGATCACTACGTGTGTGTGCGCCAGAAGCTTGACTCAGACGACAAACCTCAAGTCATCATCATCAACCTAAAGAACAACAATGAAGTCCTTCGCCGTCCTATCAACGCCGACAGTGCGATCATGCACTGGAACAAGAACATCATCGCCCTGAAGGCCCAAGGCCGAACAATCCAGATCTTCGACCTTGGTGCAAAGCAAAAGCTCAAGTCGGCAGTCATGAACGAAGATATTGTCTACTGGAAATGGTTCAGCGAGACGTCCTTGGGTCTGGTCACCGACACCGCGGTTTACCACTGGGACGTCTATGACTCCACACAGCAGAACCCCGTGAAGATGTTCGACCGACTTCCTAACCTCAGCGTATGTGGTCTCAGTGGATACAACGGATCTCGAAATGCTAATTGTGAATGTTTCTAGGGTTGCCAAATTATCAACTACCGTGTCAATGCCGAGGAGAAGTGGATGGTCGTGGTTGGTATCAGCCAGCAGCAGGGCCGCGTCGTTGGATCAATGCAGCTCTACTCGAAGGAGCGTGGAATTTCTCAGTTTATCGAAGGTCACGCTGCCTCTTTCGCCAACATCAACGTCGAGGGCTCTCCCCTACCACACAGTCTCTTCACCTTTGCCGTTCGCACTCAGACTGGCGCTAAGCTGCAGATCGCCGAGATCGACCACCAAGAACCCAACCCACGGTTCCAGAAGAAGGCCGTTGAGGTCTACTTCCCCCAGGAGGCGGTTAATGATTTCCCCGTTGCCATGCAGGTTTCTAGCAAGTACGATGTGGTTTACCTCGTTACAAAGTACGGCTTCATTCACCTTTACGATCTCGAAACCGGCACTTGCATTTTCATGAACCGTATCTCTAGCGAGACAATCTTCACCACAGCGCAGGATTCTGAGGGTGCCGGTCTGGTCGGTGTTAACCGCAAGGGTCAGGTCCTGTCGGTCAGTGTCGACGAGACCAACATCATTCAGTATCTGATGGAGAACCCTGCTATGTCTGGCCTTGCTGTGAAACTTG